AAAAATCCAGCAGGTAAATACGAGTAATCGGATGTTTTTAAAACCTTGGGAACAAGGTTCTAAACATTAATTCCAGGGGGCAGATAAAACATATTACAAGTAACAAAACTTTTATAACTTTCGATAAAATACGTGGATGTTTTATTGTCATTTTCATTTGTTAGAACTTTTTTAAGCCATGTTTTTATGTGTTTTCGATATTTCAATAATTTTTTAATATAATCTTAAAATATGTCGAATATTATAAACTTAAAAAAAGTTACTAAGTTTTATATTGTGTACCGTTCCTAATATTTCTAATCATTTTAATTCATACTTTAAGCTTTATAAAGTTATAATTTGTTAATATTAATATTTGCGCGTATTTCAGGTTCCTGATCATTCATTTTTTAAAGGTTTATAACTTTAAATTAAATTGTGAAGCGCTGAGTAATCATACGACGTTCAATATTCTTTCTTTCAATATGACTAAATAATCCCAATTATAGCAATCTGATACTCATGTCTCAATGTTTTTTCGCTGAATGTGATGAAAACATTTGAAAAAGGTTCGCTTATTGAAATAAATCTACACCAGTTAGTACTTCGATTTCCAGGTAAAGGGAAAAGGCTCATTATCTGCCATATTGGCAGTGAGGATGGATTTGTTGTTGACGGTCTGTGGTGCTTTGAGTCTAAGAAAACTGGAGATTACCACGAGGAAATGAATGGCGAATCGTTTGAACAGTGGTTTTCAAAAATTTTACCGAACTTAGAGGAAAACGCAGTAATTGTGTTGGATAATGCGCCTTATCATTCTCGAAGAATGGAGAAGGTCCCAACAACGGCTTCAAGGAAAGTTGATGTTCAAAATTGGCTCCGCTCGAAAAATATCAACTTTGAAGAAGCAATGCTGAAAGTACAATTATTAAGAATTGTCAAGGATCACAAGGCGGAATATCAAAAATACGCCATTGACGAAATGGCAGCAAGTCAAAATAAAACTGTGCTCCGTTTACCTCCATACCATTGCGAGCTCAATCCCATTGAGCTCATATGGGCAGAGGTTTAAAATTATATAGCTAAGCACAATACAACTTTTAAATTTTGTGACCTCAAAGGACTTTTCAAAGAAGCACTAGAATTAATCACAGCGCAAAAATGGGAAAACTGTATTAAGCACGTGAAAGACAAAGTTGAAAAGAGAATGTGGGAACTGGACAATATTTTAGAGGAACAAGTCGAGCCATTAATTATTGACGTTGGTGCTTCAGGCAGTAGCGATGATGAAAGCTCATCAAGCTCATCTTTCCAATAAAAGATGTCGTTCATCAAATTCGGTAAGTTATAAGTAATTATAAAGCTACTGTATTTTTTAATTAATTATTGACATTTTTGAACCCATTTTGGCAAAACCTATTCAAGAATCTACTTTCTGACAATGTTCAACCATGCACATTTTTTTACGTTTTGAACGTTTTAATTTGGTTACATATTTACCTAGATATCAAAAAATATACTAATCAATATTCTAAAAGCAATTTTAAGAGATATACGATTATTTTTAATTTAGGCTAATTTAAACGCCATTTTGAGATTATATTCGACTGTATTTCACCAAACATCAGGCGGCATCCGAAGCTGGAAATCGAAGCGAAAATTTTAAAACCCTTATGTATATTTACATCATTATATATTTCTTACCCCACCCCCACATGATACTATATCCATCACCAATCGTATACACATCGAATTGTGCTAATTTACTACAAAGTTACGCAAAGCAGCATCTACTATCTAAAATATGTACTGCGTGACTCTTAATACGTCCCTGCCGAATGTTACAGCGTTCGATGATCACGTGGTCTTGTTTATGTCCGGTCTATCTCTTATCTGAATATACTGTAAGGTGGCCCAGCCGACGAGAGCGAATTTTTGTTCGAATTGAGATAGGGATACCTCTATTTTTTCCATTTGATTCTAACAACACAAAAGTAAATATTAATATGATCGGGGAACGATCATCGGACTTTTGGTCAAACTTTGAATTTGGCAGGTAATAGGGAAACCATGAAGTTTTAATGGCGTGTGCTCTTATTGGCCAGCGGGCCATGAATGCCTGGGCAGGCAGCAACAAGCTAATAGACGAGATATCGTCTTGACGTGGCGTAAATGAAATTTGCATTCATAATAAATTAAGCGTTTTCGATCTAGATTCATACTCGTCCAGGTACGTCTTCGATTAAAAATCTTGAAGCACCAGTAGGAATAGTTTGCCCGTATCCCCAATAGCGCCATGTGCAGTTATTAAATATTTCCGGGCGATTGTGAGTCGAACTAGTGGAATATTAAATTTTGCATGGACTGCTCGAGCCTGCACCACATCGATTCGACCGTCTCCTTATATACCGACGAGATGAGCTGCAAATCGGATTTTTGATCACTCCGCGCGGAGGCAGACAAGTCCCTAGTCAAATCATTAGGAAGCGTTCATCTCTTTTTTCCCTCTTGTAGGTATTACGGATCATCTGCGTTGTAATTGAGGCCACGCGAAGACGGAGTTCAAGCAGGTTGACTCAGGGAGGAGCAACGTCCGGTGGCATATCGGTAGAAGAGAGACAGATGGTAGATGGGAGCTACGGGCCTGCGGATTTATTTATTTATTTATTTATTTATTTATTTCCAACAGGTGAAACCCAATTACAGGAAACGCTGAAAAAAAAGCAATTAAAGAGACATGGTTCTTGGACTTAAATCTATAGTATCACACATTCTAAATAAGATTGGATGATCTATGACAGTTAATAATCGTTGCACAACTGTCACTGTAAATATCACACGATTCAGTAACACTGTTCATGACGCAGCACATGAAATTAATTGGCGATTTTGTCATAACATTTGTACGGCCAGCTTGGCAATAGAATGCCATTTGTTGTCGACTCCCTAGCCTTGGAACGCGGAAACATATTTTTTCAAGTAAATTTTGACAGTCATGAAGACAGCGGATGAAGATTTGGCGGAACAAAACTGTAAGAAAGGACCTCGCACAAAATATAAAGTGTGTCCCAGATGCGCTTCACTATACAGGGTGTTCCTTGATGATATGCGGATATTTAAGGGTGTGAATCTATTTATTTATTTATTTATCAACGAGCGACTGCCCAATTACAGTATAGCATAGAAAATCTTATGTAAACCTAACCCTACTTTGACTTAGATATTTAACACTTAAAACAATCACAAACACTTTACTTTTACTACATATACTAAGTGACATATAAATCCAAACACCCAGTTTAAATGGTTTTATTTTAATAAAAGTTGGTGAATGTATTTATTTTACTGTAAATAACAAGTGAAAAAATTTTCAGCCCTATCAGTTGGACATTCCGGTTTTTATACTGCTTATTTTTAATTCACTAACGCTCTAAAAATGAATATTTCAGCCGCAGTAAAGAATCAACGTTGGCGGATTTTGGTTCTTGACATCCTTTACGATCGGTTACGATGCCTAGAGTACGGAGACCTGTACGATTTCGTCAACTTAGTGAGTTTGATAGGGGCCGTATAGTGGGACTTCGGGAAGCTGGACTTTCTTTTCGGGCAATTGCAGTTAGAGTGCAAAGAAGTGTAGACACTGTGGTTGGGTGTTGTCAGGCATGGCTTCGAGAAGGCCGTACGCAAAGAGCAAGGGGCACTGGACGCCGCCGTAGAACAACAGACCGTGAAGATCGCCGTCTACGATTATTGGCCTTAAGGGACCGTTTCTCCACTACCAGGTCCATTGCAAATGAATGGTTTGCAGAAGACGGAAGACCTATTGGCATGCGAAGTGTTTACCGACGAATGAGAAGTTTTGGCTTGTTTTCATACCGGCCACACTGGGTCCTCCCTTTAACTCGAGAACACCGACGTAATCGTCTTGAGTGGTGCAGACAACGGTCACTCTGGGATCAGGAATGGAACAGTATTGTCTTTAGTGACGAGTCTCGATTTTGTTTAGGCATGCACGATGGTCGTGCCAGGGTTAGAAGGCGACGTGGTGAAAGGAGGAATCCACAGTTTTTTGTTGAAAGACATGTTCATCACACTGTTGGAGTTTTGGTTTGGGGTGCTATAGCTTATGGTTCCAGGTCACCTTTAATCTTCATCAGAGGTAACATGAACGCGCAGCGTTATATCCACGAAGTTCTAGAACCCCATCTTTTATCCTATCTTGACACCCTAGCAGATCCAACTTTCCAACAAGATAATGCCCGACCACATGTTGCAAGAGTCACAATAGACTTCTTTCAACATAATGATGTCACATTGTTACCATGGCCACCAAGATCTCCCGACTTATCCCCAATTGAGCACGTGTGGGATATGATGGGTAGGAGATTGCTCAATTTGCAACGTCCTCCTCAGACTCTAGAAGCACTTCGAGAGGAGTTGGTGGTTGCCTGGAATGAGATACCACAGGAGGACATTGACCACCTGATCAGAAGCATGCCTAGGCGCGTTGGAGAATGCGTAGCACATCAGGGTGCATCCACACATTATTAAAGGTCAAAGGGCTTTAAAGCAGTGCAATCATTTTGAAATTTTTATCATTTACTTATTATGCTTCATTAAGTACTTATACAAAATTTTATTAAAATAAAACCATTTAAACTGGGTGTCACTTAGTATATTATCAAAATATTCATTGTTAATATTTTAACCTTATAACACCCTGGTACATTTTTATTATTTGTGTGCAATTGAAGTGGGAAGGGGCTCGTAGCAATCCGTATCTATGAAAATTTAACTAAAACCATTAAAGGGAAATGCCTTCATGAAGCGAAATATTTCAATGCTGAAATCTGTTGACTTTTCTGAGGGGTTGAGTTTTTTAGATGCATTTAGGAGACTTTCCTCTACAACTGGGTTAATAAGAGACTTCCGAGTCGTGAGCAGTAGAAAAAATCGTACCCAACAAAGTTGTTTTATGTAAATGAAACTTGCGTGGCGAATTCCAACCTTTGTTTGATAAAGGCACCCAACAAACATCCGAAAAGTGTTAATTTTGTATGAATACACAGGTTACGCGCTGTCGAAAAACAAAAACCGGACTATATTTCAGTATCGTGACATACGAAAACCGTTAAAGACCATGTGAAAAGTGGTACACCAGTTCAGTTATGTGTAGTTGTAGGTAAGATCTGTCTGTGACTTTTTTCATATTGTTCTCGTATACGCTTATATACTTAAATATGGACATTTTGATGCTTCAATTTAAAAATAACATGACGTTAACCCCTTCTGTAAATAAAACAGAACACTAAAGGTATTAATAAGATTGCGAACACATGTTGCCTTAAAAAGACTGGGGTAGAATCCTTTGTCCAGTGGTCATAACACAAATAATACCATTTATACAAGTTACAATTTGCCTTTCTTATTTCGGTAACAAAATACAGTTATAATTGATTCCTGGATTCACTGCTTTTCAGAAGTGATCCTATACTATATTTTAACATAAAAATAACAGTTGGAAGTTTCAAGATTTTGGCATAAAATACTCATGAGTTTTGAAATGAGGTATCATTCCATTTAAAATGCTTCAAAATGGCACGCAGAAAAATAAGTAGAGGGACTTTTTGGAAAACATTACATAAAACTTCGTCCATAATTTCTAATGACACGCAAATAATTACGATATGTCACAAATGAGCGTATTTTTACAATTTTACAAATAGTAGTGGTTGTGTTACTCTCAGTGTATGTAAAGTTCTAAGCTTTAATTACCTTCAAAATCAGACTTGATCAGTACCAAAAGTTTTTTAGGCCTCACAGTTTTATTTTTTTAAATATTTTTTTATTTGAAGCTTGTTTTTCCGCGGTTTTGTACGAGGCATAGATTCTTCTAATATGCAATTTTTCATATCCGTTTCATTGTTATTTTGTTTTAGGTTTGTACTTGTTATTTTTGTGACTATCAGCTGTGCAAAAATAATAAAAGGTGATGGTCGAGTACCCAACCCATACTTTCATTTTCCTGGAGGATCAGATGCCTTTATGGGGGTGAGACAATATCGCCAACATACCTTTAGTGTATTTTTTCCCAATGATTTGTATGATACTTGATATAGAATTCAGTAGGCCGCCATTTGGAAGTTGCGAGTAACTCACGGCTGACGATACCAGAGTTCGGGGGCCCAGAACCAGTATGAGTATTACCTCTCGGAGCCCTGGCCACTATACTTAAAATAGCACACCTTCAGCCTTGAATTTTCAAAACTTAAACTTTTTATAATTCTCAAAAATCAATACTATTAATAACTTACCATTTTCAAAAATTTAAAAATTTTTAAAATTCAGTTTTTAATACTGTCAATATACTCAAAATAAATCTTTCGAATTTTAAAATTTTTCGAAATTGTCGGGGTCTTTCACAATTTTCAAGGTTATTCGAAATTCTCGGAATTTTCTAAATTTTTCCAGGTTTTCAAAATTCTCAAAATTCAATACTATTAAAAATTTACCGTTTTCAAAATTGTCAATATTTTCAATATTCTCAAAACTTTCAAAATTCTCAGAATTTTAAAAATGTTCAGTATTTTTTAAATTCTCAGAATTTTAAAAATTATCCAGGATTTCTAAATTTTTCCAGTATTTTTTGGATTTTCAGAAGTTTTTCAAAATTTACAAAATTTCCATGATTTTCAAAATTTTAGAAATTCTGTTTCAAAAATTTCAAAATTCTGTTTTCAATACTGTCAATATATTCAAAATAAGTATCCCGTATCCTCAAAATTATCAGAATCTTAGAAATTTAAAATTTTTTCGAAATTGTCGGGATTTTCAAAATTTTCAAGTTTGTTCGAAATTCTACGAATTTTCAAAATCTTTCCATTTTCAAATATTTCTAAACTTTGGAAATTTCAAATATTTCAAAAATTTAATAACTTTCGAAAAGTTTCAAACATTTCAAAATTTAGTTTTCAAACCGAAATTTCCGTTATTTTCAGTATGTTCAAAATGTTCAAGGTTTTCAAAATTCTCTTAACATTCTCAAAATTCAATACTGTTAAAGATTTACCGTTTTCAAAATTGTCAATATTTTCAGTATTCACAAAACTTTCAAAATTCTCAGAATTTGAAGAATTTTCAGTATTTTCTAAATTCTCAGAATTTTAATAATTATCCAGGATTTCTAAATTTTTCCAGTATTTTCAGGACTTTCAGATATTTCGAAGTTTTTCAAAATTCACAAAATTTCCATGATTTTCAAAATTTTAGAAATTCTGATTCAAAAATTTCAAAAATTTCAAAATTCAGTTTTTAATACTGTCAATATATTCAAAATAAGTATCCCGTATCCTCAAAATTATCAGAATTTTAGAAATTTTAAAATTTTTCGAAATTGTCGGAATTTTCAAAATTTTCAAGGTTGTTCGAAATTCTACGAATTTTCAAAATCTTTCCATTTTCAAATATTTCTAAACTTTGGAAATTTTAAATATTTCAAAAATTTAATAACTTTCGAAAAGTTTCAAACATTTCAAAATTTAGTTTTCAAACCGAAATTTCCGTTATTTTCAGTATGTTCAAAATTTTCAAGGTTTCCAAAATTCTCTTAAAATTCTCAAAACTCAATACTGTTAAAAATTTACCGTTTTCAAAATTGTCAATATTTTCAATATTCTCAAAGCTTTCAAAATTCTCAGAATTTAAAGAATTTTCAGTATTTTCTAAATTATCCAGGATTTCTAAATTTTTCCAGTATTTTCAGGATTTTCAGATATTTCGAAGTTTTTCAAAATTCACAAAATTTCCATGATTTTCAAAATTTTAGAAATTCTGATTCAAAAATTTCAAAAATTTCAAAATTCAGTTTTTAATACTGTCAATATATTCAAAATAAGTATCCCGTATCCTCAAAATTATCAGAATCTTAGAAATTTTAAAATTTTTCGAAATTGTCGGGATTTTCAAAATTTTCAAGGTTGTTCGAAATTCTACGAATTTTCAAAATCTTTCCATTTTCAAATATTTCTAAACTTTGGAAATTTTAAATATTTCAAAAATTTAATAACTTTCGAAAAGTTTCAAACATTTCAGAATTTAGTTTTCAAACCGAAATTTCCGTTATTTTCAGTATGTTCAAAATTTTCAAGGTTTCCAAAATTCTCTTAAAATTCTCAAAACTCAATACTGTTAAAAATTTACCGTTTTCAAAATTGTCAATAGTTTCAATATTCTCAAAACTTTCAAAATTCTCAGAATTTAAAGAATTTTCAGTATTTTATAAATTCTCAGAATTTTAAAAATTATCCAGGATTTCTAAATTTTTCCAGTATTTTCAGGATTTTCAGATATTTCGAATCTTAAATTTTTTCGAAATTGTCGGGGTTTAAAAAGTTTTCAAGGTCATTCGAAATTCTCAGAATTTTCTAAATCTTTCCAGGTTTTCAAAATTCTCAAAATTCAATACTATTAAAAATTTACCGTTTTCAAAATTGTCAATATTTTCAATATTCTCAAAACTTTCAAAATCCTCAGAATTTTAAAATGTTCAGTATTTTTTAAATTCTCAGAATTTTGAAAATTATCCAGTATTTCTTAATTTTTAAAGTATTTTCAGATATTTCGAAGTTTTTCAAAATTTACAAAATTTCCATGATTTTCAAAATTTTAGAAATTCTGTTTCAAAAAATTCAAACTTCAGTTTTTAATACTGTCAATATATTCAAAATAAGTATCCCGTATCCTCAAAATTATCAGAATCTTTGGAATTTTAAATTTTTTCGAAATTGTCGGGATTTTCGAAATTTTCAAGGTTGTTCAAAATTCTATGAATTTTCTAAAATTTTCCATTTTCAAATGTTTCTAAACTTTGGAAATTTCAAATATTTCAAAAATTTAATAACTTTCGGAAAGTTTCAAACATTTCATAATTTAGTTTTCAAACCGAAATTTCCGTTATTTTCAGTATGTTCAAAATTTTTAAGGTTTTCAAAATTCTCATAAAATTCTCAAAACTCAATACTGTTAAAAATTTACCGTTTTTAAAATTATCAATATTTTCAATATTCTCAAAACTTTCAAAATTCTCAGAATTTAAAGAATTTTCAGTATTTTATAAATTCCCAGAATTTTAAAAATTATCCAGGATTTCTAAATTTTTCCAGTATTTTCAGGATTTTCAGATATTTCGAATTTTAAATTTTTTCGAAATTGTCGGGATTTTAAAAATTTTCAAGGTCATTCGAAATTCTCGGAATTTTCTAAATCTTTCCAGGTTTTCAAAATTCTCAAAATTCAATACTATTAAAAATTTACCGTTTTCAAAATTGTCAATATTTTCAATATTCTAAACTTTCAAAATTCTCAGAATTTTAAAATGTTCAGTATTTTTTAAATTCTCAGAATTTTGAAAATTATGAAGGATTTCTAAATTTTTCCAGTATTTTCAGGATTTTCAGATATTTCGAAGTTTTTCAAAATTTACAAAATTTCCACGATTTTCAAAATTTTAGAAATTCTGTTTCAAAAATTTCAAAATTCAGTTTTGAATACTGTCAATATATTCAAAATAAGTATCCCGTATCCTCAAAATTATCAGATTCTTAGAAATTTTAAAATTTTTCGAAATTGTCGGGATTTTCATTATTTTCAAGGTTGTTCGAAATTCTACGAATTTTCAAAATCCTTCCATTTTCAAATGTTTCTAAACTTTGGAAATTTCAGATATTTCAAAAATTTAATAACTTTAGGAAAGTTTCAAACATTTCAAAATTTAGTTTTCAAACCGAAATTTCCGTTATTTTCAGTATGTTCAAAATGTTCAAGGTTTTCAAAATTCTCTTAAAATTCTCAAAACTCAATACTGTTAAAGATTTACCGTTTCCAAAATTGTCAATATTTTCAATATTCTCAAAACATTCAAAATTCTCAGAATTTGAAGAATTTTCAGTATTTTCTAAATTCTCAGAATTTCAAAAATTATCCAGGATTTCTAAATGTTTCCAGTATTTTCAGATATTTCGAAGTTTTTCAAAATTTACACAATTTCCATGATTTTCAAAATTTTAGAAATTCTGCTTCTAAAGTCTCAAAAATTTCAAATTTCAGTTTTTAATACTGTCAATATATTCAAAATAAGTATCCCGTATTCTCAAAATTATCAGAATCCTCGGAATTTTAAATTTTTTCGAAATTTTCGGGATTTTAAAAATTGTCAAGGTTGTTCGAAATACTCGGAATTTTCTAGTTTTTTCCATCTTCAAATGTTTCTGAACTTTGAAAATTTCAAATATTTCAAAAATTTAAGAACTTTTGAAAAGCTTCAAAAATATCAAAATTCAGTTTCCAAAACGAAATTTCCGATATATTCGGAATTTTCAAAATTTTCAAGGTTTTCAATATTTTCAAAACTCATATTTCTCAGAATTTTAAAAATGTTCAATTTCAACGTTTCAAAACTTTTCAGTTTGTAAAATGTTTCAAAATTTTCTAAATTTCCAAAATCATACAAATTTCCAAGATTCTTAAAAAATCCAGTTTTCCAAATTTGCAAAATTATCAAAATCAATTTTTGAAATTTCCGAAATTTCCAAATCAAAATTTTTTCAATTTCCAAAATTTACAAAATATTGAAAACTTTCATTTATTACATATTATATTTTCAAAAAATGTCACAATATTGAAAATCAGGTGCTTCAAAGTTGTTTCAAAATTTCCAACTTTGTCAAATTAGAGGATCTGAAAGTCCTTGATACTGTGACAGACTGTGTACAGATACTGTGTGCAAATGTGCAATCTCCTCTCGAGGATCAGTGCTATACAGAACCCTTAATCCTTGATATCGATAGTACCTACTTAATAAACTTTATTCATTCCCATTTTTTGTTTTTTACAGTTGATTGCTACTTTCGCAGTTCCGATAGAGCTAAAAGCACCTGGTGATGTGATCCTATCCATGATTTTGGAAGCAAACTACAACATGCCACAGAACCAAACATCCTTCGAGTATCCACCAATTCTTGGAGAATCGGAGAGGACAATCATTTACAAAATGTTCGAAAGAAAAATCGAAGAGTAAGTTGACAACACCTATTTTTGTACTAGGAAAAACCAAGTAGATAGACTTCCTCAAGTGGTTCAGATGCTGCCCTCAATGACTGTAGTCCAAGAAGTATCTTCGTACCTGCCTGGAAAAACATCCTATTGGGCACCTTCAACGACTCTGTATTTTGCTAGGCCCAAAAATTGCCTCAAGATTCAAATCATCAAATGCTTTGGAATTGTGTTACTGGATTTTTGAAGAATATTCCAAAACTTTGGCAACGTTAAAATTTCTGTTTTTACTTATTGTTTTTTTGCGGTTGAAGATACCAAGTTTTACACTTTTTCAAGCAATAAGTAGCTTAGGTCTCCAAAAGCATCAACGTGAAAGAAAAGTTACAAGGAACCTGTTTTATTCAAAATAAGCCAAAAAACACGTGTCTGAAGCCGAATTTGCTTAAAAAAAAATCAGATATTTTTGGTCGCAATTCTGAGCCAGGCAACATGAGATTCGTCAAAATAAGAATGCATAAGATTGGTGAGATTATAAAAAATGACAAATCAGAATATCAAATATCCTTCAATTTGGGAAATACACATTTCCGTATTCTATACGGTATTAAGATTAGTATTTCCAATTTTAGGTTTGGGCATCCTGGTAAAAAGTGCCTGGAACGAATAATTTGTGAGGCTGCACAGATATCCACGAAATCCACTGGAGTTTTAGGAGACATTGTACATATCCTCTTAACGTAAGTCAAAATAAATGTTTAGCTCCTTCAAGAAAGGATGGCGTTATTCTAGGTGTTCGATGAGAAAAATTATAATTTAAGTATAAGTCCTTCTTATCGTAGGCCTACCTCGTCAAAAGAAGAAAATCTAGGAGAATACGTAAAAGCAGAACAAGATGGCCTGAATGAGAAGTGCAACAGTTACTACGAAGACTGTCAATACAGTATTTTAGGTGCAATTAGTAAGATCATTGATTTTGTAGAGTCGTTTAAAGATGTGTCGTGAATATAAGTTTATTTCTTTTAATTGTAAATTATTTCACTACTCTTCCCAAAGCCCAATCATAGAACAAATTTTTCTGAGGTCTCAGATATGCAAGGGTTTACCCATAGGAAGCCTCTAAAGGTAATTTGGGGCGCAGAATTTGAATATGACCAGCAAAAATCGTCAAGTCTTCTAAGACCGAATTTGAAGTCTTACATTAAGGCTCTGGACATCTTACACGTTTATAAATTGTTAGGTTTGTTCCAACAAGCAGTTTAGAGCTAACTCAGACTTATTCTTCTGCGCATGCCCCGGAAGAATTCTGTTGGAACAGAGAATATTTGGTGTCGTAAACATAACCTTAATTGACGTAAAATTTGAAATTATCAAGTTCACGTGTGTGGGACCTGGAATTTGGGTGACGATATTGTTTTTTATTTTTGACGTACTATATATCTTTTTTAAAAAATTGGGAAAATGCGATGTTAGATTCAATAAGAGATGGAAGCTTGGTAGAATACTTAAAACAAATACTAAGAAGTTTTGTTTTTTTATAGACTTGGAAGAATTCATCATTTTGACTTTAGGGGAAGTGTATCTTAAATTAGGGTTATCAGTCAGTCTTTCCTATAATTGTAGGACGCCTTGAATTTTCTCTTCTTCAGAAAGGCTGGGTTATTTCCAGGTTTCTACTATTCCATGGCAGCGTCACCGCTCTCCTATGGTGAGGTTATGATTTCTTTTTGAATCCTAAGAAAAATCAGGCTTTTAAAACAGATGATAAAAATCAAGTTGCATCAGCCTGAAATTTCTTAGGATTCAAAAAGGAAACATAACCTCAACATAGAACGCTGACACGGTACCCCTTTCTGGAGGACAGAAAAAACTATTAGAATCAAGCAGGCCATAAAAGCGTCCTACAATTGATGATTGAAACAAATTCATGAAAATTAACAACATTTGCTTATGTAATTTTCATTTATTGTGCTTGGAACTACGATTATTTATCAGAGGAATATCTTCATCTTAACTTCAATTTGTTCAAAAGTAATCTTGTTATAATGAGAAGATTGAAATGTTGGAAAATGCACAAAATGGAGGCTACAAAACAGCAGATCGAGGCAATTTATTCTGTAAACGCGCATGCGTTAACGAATACGAACTTTTAGTTCTTTCTGAGATCCAGAACTGTTAGAAACACTTCAGAACCGATTCGAAATCAGCACGGAATTTGTCGGAATAGAGAACTACCTGTTACGGAATCAGTCCGTTTTTTTATTCTAGTGTTGACAGATTTGTTTTTTAGACATAAAATAATGAGAACGTCACTGCTTTCCACGCCGCTGCGATTCCTTTTTCGGTCCTTCCGCGTAAGGAGGAGGCAAAAGGCAAGAAAAAATCCTCTATCGGAGAAGACAACTAATTTAATTTGGCGCGTTCGACATTTCTCTGATTTTTCATCGGAGCGTCGACGCTCGGCGTCGAAGCATCAGCGGTTCGATTGTCGGTCGGAATTGGGTGCAATTCAGAGGCCGTCAAGGGCCAGACAGGAACACCTGACAGTGTAGTGGCCCTTCATTGCCCCACACAGCGCTGCTGCCAGTGCGCTATGGACGAATTTAGACCAACAAGTAACGTGGACAAATTAGGTATCAGGGAATGATTGGATAGACTAGGCACTATTAGTGGCAGTCCAGGATCTTGACACTGTCCTACAACTGTCAGGTCTGCATTCCTGCCACGTGACTTAATCCTTACCTATGACTTCAAAAACCCGCTAGATGCGAATCTCATGACAGATAGCCTTCAAAACACAATGTTGGTCACCTTACCTCTGACTCGAAATCCCGCTAGTTACAAATCTCGTGCCAGATAGCCTCCAAAACACTATGTTGGTTCCCCTTATCGACCACTGGGGCACTCCGAAAATGCCAATTTAACTTCGTCATGATACTTTTCGAGACAATACACATGATTTCGAAATCACACGAAAACAAAACTCACGTAAGCCTAAAGGACGAGTCGGTTCTATCCCACTTCTGATGTTATAAATCGTTAAAATGCTTGAATTAATAAAACTATCGGGGACATTTGCATGCATTGGTAACTTGTAAGTTACTATTCCACAAGAATTGCAAGCAAACTGGCAAGAAAAATCCAAATGAATGAATTTGACAATTGAACATGTCTCTTGCTAAAAATAATTTTTATTTTAATTCGGCGACAAACAGTAGACACAATACAAAACTCACATAGGCCGAAAGGACGAGTGAGTTCTATCCCACTTCTGATGTTATAAAGCTTTAAAATGCGTAAATTAAGAAAATTATTAGGGTCATTTGCATGCATTGGTGACTGATGGATTTTTATGCACCATGTCTCTTGCTAAAAATAATTTTTGTTTTAATTCGACTGAAAACAGCTAATTTTCTTCGAGACATGGCATGGCCTGCTCTAATTCGCCTGGCTTATCCGGCAATTTTCCGCGCGTAAATTGAAATGTAAAAGCTGTCGCTCTTCAACACAACAACAAAAATCGATAATATCAATTAACTTTAGACCGGGCGAATGAATTCGCTGGTCGATTGTGTGACTACGGTTAAGTGTGTTGTTTATTGTCAAACGCCGCCGCTTGTGAACGCTCGAATACTGGGCAAATGTGTGGGAAAATGTTTGATACACAACTACCAACCACAGAGGCGTACCACGCATACTTAGGGGCGTATTGGCAGTCATTGCTTCGATTGTAGGACGTCTTTATGGCCTCGTTGATTTTCATAGTTGTTCCTATCCTTCAGAAAGGCTAAATTTTTACTGTTTCATGTCCGCGCAATATTTTGAGGTTATATTTTCTTTTTGGATTCTAAGAAATGTCAAAAAGAAAGCATAACCTCATAATAGGTGATGCTGACACGGAACAGTAGAAACCTAGGAATACCTTTCTGAAGGAGAGAACATACTATGAAAATCAAGGAGGCCGTAAAGGCGCCCTACAATAAATTGTAGAAACGATAGACGTTACCGTCCTTAGGGTAGCTTGTGCAACATGTTAGTTTCGTTTGTCTACGATTTTATTGGTTTTAGCTGCGCAAAATCGGACAGCTCTCAGTTGTCTAAATCTTCTACTCACTATTATTCTTAAATAGCTTTTCCAGTTCGAAATGGAAACGTTACTTGTCACTCTTAAGTATTCTGATGATGGATAGTTTTTATGGTCTTCTGCAATTTCCATTACGCATTTTCTGTGTTCTATGACTATGAATGTATGTCCACCAGGTTTTTGACACTGACAGGAGAATTTCGTATTATCATCGAAGCTGTGCTTCTACTATCTACCATTCTGTTGAAATCCCTTTTCAAGTTCGAAAAGGATGATGGGATGGAAGGGGGCAGGGAGCTGAAAAAGGAATGTTCTTTTGCAATTTTCTCGCTAAGAAATTAAAAACTATCTATTCCTTTTAAAAGCGTACATCCTGCTTAATAATAGATTCTTAATTGCTGACTAAAAATTTTTACTAACAGTTTGGTTTTGGCGCCCAACTTTCAAATTATCGGCTTTTGTAGAATATATTCATAATAATAATTTTTAACATCACGCTTTGACGTCTACTGAGTTGAACAGCTGAACAGCAAGTGACATTTTTGTGTTAGTCTGCGACGTTGGCAATAATGAATCGGGTGTAAATCTAGTAGAACTTGTTTGTAGCGTTTAGCAAGTACAAAATGAATCTGTAACGTACAAAAAAAAAACAAAATAAAATACGGCTTTGACTACCTGCCGTTGACGGATCCGTCAGAATTATGTGTCCTGTGCCGATATGGGGAATTTTGAGATATTACTAGATAATTAGCTGTCATTTGATAATGGATAGTTTTTATGGTCTGTTGCAGTTTCCATTACACATTTTTGTGTTCTATGGCTATGGATGAATAATCAAATCCAAGCGAATAACCAACATTTCTGTGTTATGTGCCGCGGTTATAATATGGTTCAAGATGACACACGGGTTGATGTCGTCAGTTACACGAATCGCTTGAACGCGTTGGTTTTAACCACGGTTTTGTTGCAAGTTGTTTATTTTAGAAAAGCGCGTATATAATCTCTGATTATTTTTATTATCACTTAATAATCGGTGCTTTTTCGTCTACAACTGTATATGGAAAGTTTAAATAAGAAACCTTTCATAATATTCATGGGCGAAATGTTTTTTTCAGATTTTTTTTAATGATGGAACCATGGCTTTGTAGCTATGATAACTTTCAATTCTCTAAATTTTTCCGCATGTCAAAGAAAACATTTATTGATTCAGCAGAAATGATGAAAAAAGATATTAGCAAAACCGTATACAGGTGGATATCATCTAGTGAGTTTATATGGCCATATTTTAATATTCTTGTGGTATATGGCTACACAGGATACTTTGTTAAGCATAGGAACTACATTTAAAGTGTCCTCAATAACCGTAATGAGTATAACTAATAATGTGCTCCACTTTTTGGTAAAACTGAAGTCATCCTGTATCATTTTTCTCAAAAATGAAGCTGAAGTACAATAACAATATCCAATACCCGGCAAAATTCTAACTTGTCACATTTCAAATAATAACCAGAAATATAAAACTACTCTTGAGCTGGGTAAATACCACAATTTTGCGGTGATAACTGTGACATATAACACCTGATTCGTGACGTCACGGATCTTATAACCAAACTGATAACTACACTCGCTTGAACGGATTGGTAAATACCAACCCAAAATGGTAAATACCATTTCCATTTGGTTATACGCTTGAATTTGATTTATGTCTACCAATCAACTATTGACATAAAGGTGTAGAGATGGGTCAGTGTAGATGTTTTGTGGAGACAAAGCTACAGAAAGATAAACCTTTTATTTAGCAGTTGGCAGTTTTTCGTACTTAAGCATAAAATACTCAAAAAATACCCAACCATTTGATTTTTCCCCAGAACATTTTATCCTCAAAGGACGTAAGAATCCACCATATTCGGGGGTAGATTCCTAAGATGGAAAACCTGTTTTCACGGTAGAATCTCGGATTCATGAAGACTAGACATAGGTGGTTAAACTCATGGAGTGGAGGCGGAGCCAACAATGTCGACGATGAAGTGAGTTGGTACACTGCGCAAAACTAATTTCAACTTCTGTGGCGTCTCCTTCTGATGCTATCGTCATGGCTATAACAACTCCAATTTTGACAGATCGTACAAGTTGCAAGCAGACATATTGGATAATATTAATAAACCACGTAGTAATAAACCTATAAAGCCTGGCAAAACGTGAGTGAAATGTAGATAAGGATTGCGGCAGGTTATATTGACATTTTTCAGTGGGTGTGCCCTATTTCACGAGTATCCAACAATATAGTAATTTTTCAAAATTCCCCAGATCGGCAAGGACACAAATGCCAGGTAGACAGTCATATTTTGTTTTGGTTTTTTGTGCGCTACAGATTCATTTTGTACTTGCTGAAAGCTCTTTTATTTAGAAAAGTTTATCTGAATACAAGAAACAAAACGTCACTAACAAGTTTTACTAGATTTATATCCGATTCATTATTGTCAACGTCGCAGATTAACACAAAAATGTCACTTGCTGATCAGCTGTTCACCTCGGTAGAAGTCAAAGCGTGACGGATCCATCACCGTAGAATGACAGCTGATTATCTCATAATTCCCCATATCGGCACAGAACACATAATTCTGACGGATCCGTCAACGTCAAGTAGACAGAGCCGAATTTCGTTTTGGTTTTTTGTACACTACAGATTCATTTTGTACTTGCTAACAGTTTTTTTTATTTAGAAAAGTTAATTTGCATACAAAAAACAAAACGCTACAAACAAGTTTTACTAGATTTATACGATTATCGCCAACGTTGCAGACTAACCTGCTGATCAACTGAACGCGTGATGGATACTGGTGAAATAGGGTATAGACATAGACGCTCTGCGTCATGTTCTCAACAGCGTTGCCAACTGAGCGGACAAAATCTGCAATTGCGGATTTTTTAACGGAATTTAGCGGATTATTAAATTGAGAATAAAAACAATTTAAACATCAAATATTTTCCATACGTAAATGTAGTCAATGCACATAGTAATCATTACTTACTCATATATTTATGGCGCCCTGGACCTCCTAATATCTTTGACAACAATGCCATAAGAAGTTATGTGGCAATGAGTCATTCCAAGGAATCGGGGAATTACCCACATGCGGTTGTGCCAGTCTATTTTCTAGCTGTGTGCTTTATTTTATGATTGGCTATCTCAGCATCTCTGGTATAGTCGAAATCATGAAAGATGACGATTACGTCATCATTTTAGTCTGTAGTAAAGACAAACGACAGCGATTTGTGAATATTTTTAATGAAGTTTCAGATATGTTAGACAGAGACAAACATAATTTTATCGTCTAAACAGACTGTATTGCTAATTTGCATGTATCCGACAAAGATAGACGATGTTTTCATGTTGCATGATCGATCATCTTTGAAAGATGAATAGTTAGGTTATGTTGTTTTCGAATAATACTTTGGTCTTTGTTGTTCCTGTCTTAAGGTTCTACTCATAATGGTTTTCTTTTTGAAAATAAAAACTTCCCCCTAAAATTATTATTAAGGCATCACCCAAAACCCTGAAATAAAATGAAAATAAAAATAATCATAATCATAACCTAACTTCGCAAAATCATAATATAAATTTGTTGTCATTGAGTTCCTTACATCTTAATTTTATCATCGACGTACATCCATTGATTACTTCAGTACAATTTATGGTGTGACGTAATAGTCATCTTTCGTGATTTTGACTATACAAGTGTGAGCATTTTGTGTCAAGTTTTAAACAGTCCCAAACTACTGTTACTGTTCAATTACTTTTGTTTAGATTTGCTGTAAATTTTTATTTTATATTTTTTACCAAGGAAGGGAATTTCTTTTGCAAATATTTTTTTTAGCGGATTCAGATTGGATCTAGCGGATTTTAAGCACTGATTTGGCGGAAACTATTTTAAAGAGTTGGCAACGCTGGTTTTTAACCTCCTATTTCTAGTCTTCGTGATTAGCGAAATTTATATGCAATTTTCTCCGCCGAAATAGCAGCCGTTTTTGACACTGACAGTTTCATATTGCTACCTAAGCTGCGCTTCTACTAATCTACCAATCTTTAAAAGTCCATTTTCAAGTTTGAAATGGATGATGGGATGGAAGGAGGCAGGGAGCTGAAAAAGAAGTGTTCCTTTGCAATTTTCTCGTTAAGAATTTAAAAGTGTCTATCTCTCTTAAAAGCGTGCATCCTTGCTTAATGATAAATTCTTAATTGCTAACTGAAAATTTTTATTATATTCGGTTTTGGCGCCCAACTTGTAAGGTTATTGTAGCATATGTTCCTAATAATTTTTAACCATATAATTTCGGCAAAGTAAATGTCACTCATTTGAAACAAATACCTGTAAATTGGAATTAATAATAAAACGCAGCAATTTGTCCTTTTTGACTTGATTGTTTCTAGTTAAATAAGATTTACGGTAAAAATAATACAAGACACCGATTCGTAAAAAGGTACGAACATTTATTTAATCTTAAAAAATAGACAGTACATAATAAAGATAACAAAATTTGATACTTATAGAAAAATTCACAATTTAAAACCTAAATTCTAGACATTTTCGCTTGAATCCCCCGCAATCTGTTTACCAGATGATCTGAATTTGGTTTACTGTACAAGTTTGACAACAATGCCGCAACTGTGTCCTGACAAATCGACGTAATTTTCCTCCTGAAAAAAATCATGATAGATTATAATAAAAAAGTACCGATGACAGATCGAGAAAATGTTACAAAAAAATTATGCTTGTTAAAATAAAAAATACTCGCTTAACATGAGGATTGCCTAAAAAATATGTATCAGAAAGCGGTGCAAAATTTGATCTAGAATTTTTAGGTCTGGAGTTCCACAAGGTTCGATTTTAGGTCCAACACTTTTTCTAATTTACGTACATGACATTGCAGAGTGTGATGCTAGTTCGAAATTTATTTTAGACGCTGATGATACTACACAGATAGACGAGCCATCACAAATAGCTGAATGTTTGGGATATTTGGTTGATTTATTTGTGGCATGTTCCGCGGGTAAAACAGCAAGGCATAGCAAAAAAAAAATTAAAAAATATAATGTTTTCTTACTTTTCAACACTGTTGTAACTACCGTGGTTATTGACAAAGCAGGATATCAAAGCTGCGGCAGCTTCTGCTAGATGAAACTCGTTCTCTTCTATTTGCCAAAAGTGATCGTTTACCGATAAAGTGATTAAACTGCAAAACGAAAAAAAAAAAGGTCTTAGAACATAAAAAAAACATATTTCTAAAAATACGTGTTTCGATTAAACCTGTCCTATTATACAGAAAAAAATGATGTAAGGTTTAAAACAATTGTGAAATAAACTGTATAAAGAGACAATGTTTAGTAATAAAATTCCATCTTGTACCATTATCGTTGAGAAACAAAAAGAAGACACTTACTTATTATATACAGTAATAAGTTTTTCATATGGCAGATTCATCGCAATTAACGCATTTGGAACCAGGTGCTTGTCACCTTTCAGTCGGGCATTCACTCTTTCCAGTTCATAAACAATATAATCTGTAAAAAATATAACATTAAAAGCTTGATTTATAAAAATAAAAAAAATATTTGAGTTGCTCGCTATTTGGAGAGTCAAGGTTTTATAGAAATCGAGACAACAAGGATCAACAAAACACAGATGGAAGATAGGAAGGCCCACATTTATAGTCGACTCTTGAGGGTTAATAAATTATTGGATGCCGGACGAAATAGTTCTCATCACGGGTTTTCAGATTTTTCAAAAGTTTCAACATTTTCAGATTGTTGAAAATCTTGAAAAATTTGAAAATCGACGTTTGACATTTTTGAAAATTGTTGATACCTAATGAAAACTTTTAAATTTCGAAAAATCCTATTGTTGAAAAATTTTGAAAATCTGAGAATTTGGAAATTGAAAATTATGAAAATTTCGAAAATTTTAAGATATCCTAAAAAATATACTAAGTGACATATAAATCCGAACACCCAGTTTAAATGGTTTTATTTTAATAAAAGTTGGTGAATGTATTTATCTTACTGTAAATAACAAGTGAAAAAATTTTCAGCCTTATCAGTTGAACATTCCGGTTTTTATACTGCTTTTTTTTAATTCACTAACGCTCTAAAAATGAATATTTCAGCCGCAGTAAAGAATCAACGTTGGCCGATTTTGGTTCTTGACATCTTTTACGATCGGTTACGATGCCTAGAGTACGGAGACCTGTACGATTTCGTCAACTTAGTGAGTTTGATAGGGGCCGTATAGTGGGACTTCCGGAAGCTGGACTTTCTTTTCGGGCAATTGCAGTTAGAGTGCAAAGAAGTGTAGACACTGTGGTTAGGCCGTACGCAAAGAGCAAGGGGTACTGGACGCCGCCGTAGAACAACAGACCGTGAAGATCGCCGCCTAAGATTATTGGCTTTAAGGGACCGTTTCTCCACTACCAGGTCCATTGCAAATGAATGGTTTGCAGAACACGGAAGACCTATTGGCATGCGAAGTCTTTACCGACGAATGAGAAGTTTTGGCTTGTTTTCATACCGGACACACTGGGTCCTCACTTTAACTCGAGAACACCGACGTAATCGCCTTGACTGGTGCAGACAACGGTCACTCTGGGATCAGGAATGGAACAGTATTGTCTTTAGTGACGAGTCTCGATTTTGTTTAGGCATGCACGATGGTCGTGCCAGGGTTAGAAGGCGACGTGGTGAAAGGAGGAATCCACAGTTTTTTGTTGAAAGACATGTTCATCACACTGTTGGAGTTATGGTTTGGGGTGCTATAGCTTATGGTTCCAGGTCACCTTTAATCTTCATCAGAGGTAACATGAACGCGCAGCGTTATATCCACGAAGTTCTAGAACCCCATCTTTTACCCTATCTTGACACCCTGGCAGATCCAACTTTCCAACAAGATAATGCCCGACCACATGTTGCAAGACTCACAATAGACTTCTTTCAACATAATGATGTCACATTGTTACCATGGCCACCAAGATCTCCCGACTTATCCCCAATTGAGCACGTGTGGGATATGATGGGTAGGAGATTGCTCAATTTGCAACGTCCTCCTCAGACTCTAGAAGCACTTCGAGAGGAGTTGGTGGTTGCCTGGAATGAGATACCACAGGAGGACATTGACCACCTGATCAGAAGCAAGGCGCGTTGGAGAATGCGTAGCACATCAGGGTGCATCCACACATTATTAAAGGTCAAATGGCTTTAAAGCAGTGCAATCATTTTGAAATTTTTATCATTTACTTATTATGCTTCATTAAGTATTTATTCAAAATTTTATTAAAATAAAACCATTTAAACTGGGTGTTCGGATTTATATGTCACTTAGTATATTTTGTAAATCATGAAAATCAGCGCATTTGGAAATTGCAAATTATGGAAATTTAAGTCTTGAAAATTATGAAATTCTTAAAAAAATTTAAAATCGGAGATGAAGATTTAAAATTTGTATTACCCTAGAAATTTTGATAATCGATGATTTTAGAAAATTTTGAAAATCGGAGATCTTGGAGATTAAAAATTATCAAAATCTTGAAAGTTTTGCAAATTTTGAGCATTCTTTAAAATATGAAAATTATGAAAATCGGACATTTTGAAAATGGAAAATTTTGTAAACTTTGATAACCCTGAAAGTTTGGAGAATTTTAAATTAAGAAAAATTTGAGGATCTTGAAAATCTGTTATAAGTATCTGAAATAAAATCTTTGGAGATTTAAAAAATCGGAACTTTTTGAAAATCATGAAAATATCAAAAACCTTGAAAAGTATGAAATTCTTGAAAATTTTTAAAATCAAAGATCTTAAAAATTGAAAATGTTGAAAATTATGGGCATTTTGATTTATGTTGAAAATCGTGAAAATTTTCAAACTCGGAGAGTTTAAAGACTGAGAACTGAAAATTATGGAAATTTTGAGAATCTTGAAAATATGCATTTTGATAACCATGAAAATTTTTAATTTCAGATATTTTGAAGATGAACATTTTGGAAATTGAAAAGTATATAAATTTTGGAATTTCTCTAAATCTGGAAAATCATGAAATTCTTGAACAAATTTAAAATCGAAGATTTTGAAGTTTGGAAATTTTGAAGATTTTTACCCTGAAAGTTTTGAGAATTTTTTGAGTCAACAAAATTTTCAGGATCTGTTATAAGTGTCTGTAATGTATATGTAATTGGAAATTTCGAAATTCATGTAAAATACCGAAAGCTTTGAAAACCTTGAAAATAACTAGATTCTTGAAAAATATGATAATCGAAGATCATGAAGGTTGAACATTTTGAAAATTATGAGGATTTCAAAATTTTTGATCATCCTGAAAATCGGAGGGTTTGATGACTGAGAATTAAAAATTATAAAAATTTTGTAAATGTTGAAAATTCTTGATGATTTTGAAAATTGAAAATTATGGAAATTTCGGAATGTTTGTAAATGTTGAAAACCACGGAATTCTTGCAAAATTTGAAAATCGAAGATTTTGATTAAAGGTTTTCTAAATTTTGAATCTTGCAAACTAAAAGAATTTTGAGGATGTTGAAAATCTTTTATAAGTATCTGTAATGAAAACTTTGCAAATCTGAAAATCAAAGTTTTTTTGTAAATCTTGAGAATTGTGAAATCGAAGATTTTGTAGATTGAAATTTTTTTAAAACTTGGGTAATCTAGACATTTTTGAGAATTTTGAAAATATACAGGGTGTCCGCAAAGTTGGGGTTTTCCTTTACACGACGTGTAGATCTTGAAAACATAAGCAATTTTTCTTAATACCATATACACCAATGTCTTAAGGGAACCGAGATAAAGGGCTCTGCAACATCAAAAATATCTGAATACCGTCCTGTAGCCGCGACATCCCCGACTGGTACTAGGACACTAGCTCAACCCGACGAAAAAACTGGGTCGGGGTCAGTGTGTCAGGTCAGTATGCAACCTTCAACCGACGGTTACGGTCACGCGTGTAGAGGTAATCGCGTAGACGAGAATCCCTCAACAAGCACTAGAGACGTGGCTAGAGAAGTGCAAGTATCAAAAACTAAAGTGTGGCAAACGCTGCGTGAAGAGGGGCTGTATCCGTTTCACGTCCAACGTGTACAAGAGCTTCAACCTGACGATTTTCCAGCAAGAGTGCGGTTTTGTGAGTGGTTGTTGCATCAACATGACAATAATCCGGACTTTTTGAAGTGCATATTGGTGACAGACGAAACTACGTTCACGCGTAATGGGGTGAATAACTTTCGCAACACTCATGTTTGGTCAGTAGAAAATCCGCACGCTGTCCGTCGGGCACATTTTCAACAAACATTTTCGGTGAATGTTTGGGCTGGCATGGTGAACCTAGACCTAGACTTTTTACGCAACATTTTGCCTTCCTTGTTTGCCTGCGTCTGCTCGGTAGCGCATCAGCTGATTTCATTTTCTGTTGGCGCGGTATGATTTCGGGCAGAGACGTACTTAGCCCTTCTCGTCAACTGGAGAGTGAGTACTTTTTCCTTTATTTTTTTTTACTTGGTCGCCCTCGTTTCACTACACATTACCTTTGTTATTTCAAGGGTAATTGTTTCTGAAAAGGAAAACCCCAACTTTGCAGAGCGTCTTATTCGTTTAATGTCCGAAGATTGATCAAGCCCCTACTCCCATTAAGGGACGACTATAAATATCCGCCTTAGACAAAAAAAAAACACTTACTTAGAGGGAAACAGTGCGCAGAACTTCCGTAATATCTAGCTAAATGCTTGACTTTCATCAACACTTGACATACTCTATCGTTTCCGCTACCACTAGACTTCTTCAGTTCATCTGACAGAATCTGCTGCCATATTGATTCTATCAGTGCATTGTCTGTGTATCCAGCACAGTCTATGATCGCCAGCTGACATTCTAGAAGCTTAAGTGGTTCGGCGAAATTCTCATACAACTGAAAGAAAAAAGAATGTGAATACAATACCATTTATCAACTAGCATATCAATGTACTCGTCAACTGGATAGAGACAGTGGTTAAGCAATGTTTTATTTAGCAAACTCTGACAAGTAGCGATTAGATATATTTTCACAATTATTATTTTTAGTCATATTCAGTCGCGATTATGAATTAGGTAATTAAATAACGATGATTTTATCTTTTCTGCTTTATGAATATATTTTTTTTTGAAAGAACGCACTCAGCTTGAAATTTTACGATTATTGGAAATATATCAAAATAACCTCACTAAATCTGGTGAAAAACGGTGCATTTCTGGTGTTGTGCTAGTAAGATAGAGAAAAACTGTTTTTTCTCTGCCAACCCAGACAATAAGTGTAAAAGTATAAAAAAAGAATTTAAACAAGAAATATGGTATCTTTTTAAGAACGCATTCCTACCTGAGATATTTCAAACAATCCCGAATTTAAAACAGTTATCGCTTCCTGGGCATTTGGTATCTGTCCCTGCATGCTCGTGATAGTGTCCAAAATTAGCTCCTGGACTTTAGCTACTTCCATTTTGTCTTCAAGATCTCTGAGGAAAACTCCCAGATACGGCGCGTATCCAACTTTGTCACTCCTCATGCACATTATCGCTCTGGCCAAGTATGCTATCCTTTCTTTTAGCGCAAGAGAAGAGCTAAAAAGAAACAATGACATGTATATCCTTATACAGGGTAGGTCATAAGAGTGTTGAAGATTTAAATCTTAAATTTCTCGGAAACCGCGGGGCGCGGGATAAGCTGTTAGCCGCGCCGTTGCCAGGAGATTTAGTCGCCATGGAGCGCAGCGTGCATTTTATGTTCGAAACAACCGGCTCGACAGTAGAATAACAGCTCGTGGTCGTCCAGTGTCACCAGCGTGTTCGTGTCTCAGTTCAGCGAAATCCGCAACAGTCAACACGTAAGAGAAGTCAGGCTTTGGACATCAAAAGGACGAGCTTTTTGCATTTGAAGGCTTATAAGATTCAACTAGTCCAAGAATTAAAACCAGATGATGCCAATAACCGAATTAACTTTGTCAATTTGATGCTCGACCGATTCAACAGTTTTAAAACCTGATGAGTGATGAGGCCATTTTTCACCTCAATTGGTTGTTAACAAACACAATTGTCGGTTCTGGTCCGAAACTAATCCGCGATGCTTGCACGAACGTCCAGTTCACAGCCCTAAACTAGTCGTGTGGGCTGGAATTACGTCAACCGGTATTATTAGACTATACTTTTTTGAGAATGAAAGAGGGCAAGCGATGACAGTTAAAGCTAACAATTATTGCAATATGATAACAAGACTTTTTGGTGCCAGCTTTGCAAGAACTTCAAGGCAATACCTCTAGAATGTGGTTTCATAGAGCTGCTGAAAAATGTCTTTCCCGGAAAACTCATTTCGAAAAGGGGGTATATTGAATGGCCACCACGTAGCCCCGATCTTTCTTCTTGCGATTACTTCCTATCGGGCTACCTTAAATCGGTGGTCTACGAGAATAATCCAACTAATTTAGAACAGCTGAAGAGGAATATTGTTCAGGAAAGTAACAAAATACCGAAAACAACTTTTCAGCGAGTTTTCCAAAATCTGCAGCTTCGGTTTCAAGAGTGCCAAGCATCCGAAGGAAGTCATTTGAACAACATTATTTTCAAGTCTTAAAAACTCCTATCTTTCTACTTTTTAAAAATATATTTATTTTTCTTTTATATTGCGTAGTTATTTTTTAATTGAATATTGAAATTGCCAACACCTTTATGGCCCACTTCCACGGTATTTTTAAAATTCGAAATTGTACGGAAAATAAAAAATAGTATAGGGTCTTTGAGTGGGTCGAAAATGAAAAAAAAGTATATCAAACATTAGTTGATTTATTATCCGGGAATCCACGAATAACAACCATCTAAATTCTTTACAAATGACACAAAAATTGTTCATAAAAACAATGCATAACCTTTATTATATCCCTCCAAATCGCTGTTCATAGAATCAAAACTTTTGAATATAAAAACATTATAGTCTGGTTTTATTAGTGTCACTTGTTCAAGGGGGTATTTAAAACATAAAATGGGTACACCAATTTTTGTGGGAAAACTTTTTATTTGACAACAATACAACAAGAATGAGAAAACGTGTCTTTTGGGATCCAATGGATAGTGTTCGCAGCATCGAAAGAACTTTTCATATAAGATTTATAGGAATTTACAAAACGAGATTACACGTAAAAAGACTAATAGCAAAACTATTATGGCCGAAAAACGAGGCAAAATTCAGGTTTTGGCACTTGTTGGTAACGCGACGATATAATTTGACGCAACTACTTGAAATTCTTCAAATCAGTATAATTTATACTTCTAAATAACAACCAAAAATTGGAGTATATTGGTTTTTGAGAATTTCTAATTATTCAACCCAAAACACCTGTTTTCCGGCCATTACTACTAGTTTATTGGGCAATATACAGGCTTCGTTCAAAGAGCATTTAATAGCAAAATACACGTGTTTACCTTGCCGATATGAATCACAAACCATTCCGAAAGATAAATGCTATTTTTATGCGAAAAATAAAAGTTACGTTTTTTCTTGCATCGCTGTTGCATCTTCTATGTCATTGAGTATATGAAGTCTTACTTGCAATATCTTTTTCATAAACAGAGTGTTTAAGAAAATTGCTATCGAATAAAGTTGTATTTTTCACAATTATAGTGAAAATGAGAGTCGTTTTTTTCTGGGGGTTAAAGCTGTCGAACGCATATCGGAAAAACAGATTAAATACAAACATGATGATCCCAAGCCAAACTAGCGCCATTTGCTTCTAGCTTTCAAAATTACTTCCCCCCATTGGATGGTGTAACTTTTTGTTTTCCATCAACACTTTTTGAAAGTACAATACCAAAAAAATGCGAAATATATTTTAAAGCTGAAAATTAACTTTTCTGAAAAAAATTTTCTCGAGGCTTACCCAGTTCTGGAAGCCAAACTGTTCAAAATCTTCGCGGCGGCAGCATGATTATTGTTACTCTCGTAGTATTTCCAAAGTAGGTCCATTGTCGCTGTGCTATTGGGGCTTTGAGCAGAGTGTCGTTTCAAGTACATTTCTAACGAGGCGTTGCTGATTTTAATCAGATCGTTCGTCATATTTTTGGATACCATCCATTCGTATAGGGCTATGTGCATGATTTCATCGGGACATTCCAGTATATCGTTTATCACTTGTTGCAACTGAAACAAAGTAGAACAAAAACACAAGTCATTCCGTTTTGAGCCTTAAAGCGAAAAGTAATAAAATATAAAATGGCTTTACCTCGATGAGTTCTGTATATATATATATATATATTATAAATAATGTTCAAGTTAAGATTGCAATGGATATCTGGTTACTATTCGGCATCCGGTGAAAGCCAAATGGTAATAAAGCAAAAATCGGAAAATATACGGACTTTATTTTTATTCTCCTTATGCTTCTTAGATAACACTACATCAAAGATAGAAAATGACGAATAAAATATTTTTTTGTATTCAAAACCAAACATAGATAATAAAGGTTTGAGATCAAAGTAAATCATAGAATAAAAATATGCTCTTTTCTAAAATATTCTGGAAAATGATGTTTTTTTATTTTAAATTTAAAAATAACCAAATATGAAATGGAAATTTTTATGTTCTACCAATTCTTGTAACATAGATTTTATTTTGGTGTATTTATTTTTATTTAATATACAAGTAATATTTTTGCAATTTTTGAAATAATTTAGACATAGTTATAAAATAGGAAAATAATGGGCAAAATCCCCAAAAAGTGGATTCGAGCAGAAAATAGGATAGGTAACCCGAGCGATACGTATTTCTGCTGGTTGGCTTCATCATGCCCGAAATGAATATATATATAAGTAATAAGTAATTTATTTCTGTTATAAACCACAATTTGCTGTTTATTTATTAATTCAGTGATGATGGCGTATTTTCTTTCTTAAGTTTGGTTTTTTTACTTGAAATAATAATAATAATAATATTTATTCGCCAAAATACAAAAAATGGGCAAATAAATATGAAAAAACCACAGAAGGCATCGCCTGTGTGTGGTTTATATCTTAATAACTAACAATCAATCATATATGTGTATAACAATTATTGTTAAATCTAAAAGGTATTAATGTAATTGGAATTTTGTAGTTTTAGGTTTCTATATAATTATGTATAGTCATTCGCTGCACATTACTAACCCAGTCTTTCAATTTTCTTCTAATTTTTTTCCAAAATTAAGTATCTTTTAACATTATATAATTTAGCTGCTAAGAATTTAAATGATTTTTTGAATGTTTTGTGTGGTCTTTGGATATTAGATGAGCCTATTCGAAATCGTGTGTTATGCTCGTGTTTATAGGATTTTTTCTTTTTATTACAATACTTATGGTATAAGGTGGTGGCATGTAAGAAATAAAGTTGTCTTGTATCAAGTATCCCTGTTTCTTGATATAAGTTGTTCGTTGGATATAATCTTGGCTTATGGAAAATGGCTTTCAAAACAGTTTTTTGTGCTATATTCAGGTCAGAAATATATGTCTTGCAGGCGGCACCCCAGGCTGTGATGCCGTATATTATATGGGTTTCAACTAAGGCATGGTATAGGATTCGCAGATAACTTTCTGTAAGAATGTTAGCAAGCATTTTGAGTTTATAGGCAAGATTTCTAATTTTTTTGATAACATATTTAATATGGTTATCCCACCTTAGATGTGAGTCTATAAATATTCCAAGATATTTCAAAGTGTTAACTCTATCGATTTTGGTCTTTTGGCCATGATAATTAACGGAAATTTGTTCGAAGGTAGGTAAAAATTTTGAATAGGATGTAAATGCAATAAATTTTGTTTTTTTGAAGTTAACTGTTAAAATTTTAGTATCAAACCAGTCAATGATCCTTATAAAATCCTTTTCAGCTATTTGCTTCAGTGTGCTCCAGTCATCAGCTTTATATAATATATAAAATTTTGAATAAGTCATTTAAGTAGAGACTAAATAATAGTGGGCCTAGTACTGTTCCTTGAGGCACACCACACTTGATGTACATTTTTTTACTGTAAGTGTTAGTGATTTTGACAGTCTGTGCCCGACTTGAAAGGTAATTTTTTAAAAGGATTTGTGACGCTCCCCTAAATCCCAATCTTTCCATAACTTTCAGAAGCTCGACATGGTTAACCGTATCAAAGGCATTTTTTAGATCAACAAAGATACCAATAGTAGGTATATTTTTGTTGACATTAGAGTTAATTTCATCCATTGCAGCCAAAATTGCATCTGTAGTAGATTTTCCTTTTCTAAATCCATATTGGTCAGAACATATAATTTTGTTTTTGTCCAAAAATTGTAATATCCTTTTTTTGTAGTAATTTTTCGAAAATTTTGGCTATATTCGATAGTACTGATATGGGTCTATAATTTGATGTTTCCATTCTGTCACCGCTTTTATAAACAGGAGTAATAACAGTTGTTTTAAATGCATCAGGACACATTCCAGATTGGAAACAGAAAAGGACATTTTTGCTTTGTGGATTTACTTGGATCTCAAACCTCTATTATTTTATTTTCTTTTGGAATACAAAAAAACTAGAATGGTTAAATATAAAAAATTTCATAAGCTACTTGGCTTTCATTTCCATATTTAAGTTAAAAATCTTCTTCTACCAAATAACTGAAAATTTTAATGAATTGAGCAATGAGTACCATTCTGTGAGAGGGAGTATAGACTTTTATTTACAAAATTGTAGTAGCATTATAACAAACAAATCAGAATTTCAAAAAGGATTGTACGAATTTAATAAATTAAATAATATCAAGATGTGTGATAGTTTGAAAATGTTTAAAGGAAAATTAAAAGAATATTTCATGGAAAACCAGAATTCATAGTAGTGAAATTTAATATAAACATATGTACAGGTAGTCTTGAAGACAATATATTATGTGATATACTGTTTAACATTGATATTGTAGCATTAATGCTAAATAAATCTACAACAAACAAATTCGTCATTCTACTTTACATTTGATGTAATGTTAGGTAAGAAACATTGGCTAATTAATTTTACTGACTAAACGCAATAAAAATACCGTTTGTACATTTTGCGGTTGTTCTTGTTTTATTCCTAACCTGCTTTCGAAGAATACTAAAGCTAGTATTTGGTTCCTGGACGATCAATAAATTGTAGCTGGCTGCTAACTGAATATTCGTTGCTGCAGTTACATATTTTGGTGGTTAAAAATGTCTTGAATTGTAGCAAAATAAGTGTACTTACAGTTGATCCCACATGGGTTTGACTTCCATCTTGCCCGGAATGATACGAATCACATGATATAGACGGTGGTTGCTCATTGTATAAATATTCTAGCATGTTCAATATTTGTCCATAGATTTCCATCCTAAAGAAAAAACAAATATTCAAAGCTGTCGACAAGGAAGTAAGATATTTAGACAGAATTTCATACAAATGGTCTCTTTCTCTCTCTGATGTAAAAACATAATTTATAACAGAATAATATACCCAGAAAAAATAATTTCTTAACCTTGTTTTTTGGCAACATACTGAACATAAAGTATGCTGAGGCAACAATGTTTATCTTTACCTTTGTTAAAATGGTATCTCTTAGTTTTCGTGAAGAAAGCAGTTTCTGACAGCTGAGTAGTATATGTATTTTTAGTTATTGCCCTTTCATTTACTAGTGATATGCATAATAAAATGCCTCGAGTTCAAAGACGTCAAAACCATCACCATGTTGAAAAACTTGTATTGATACTAACCGTCAAACATACTTAAAAACAGACAAAACCGGAAAAAAATATGCAAGAAAATTGATCATTTTGTGCATTTCCGCACACCATTCAAAAACTAGTTTGTGAAGTTGTACTTTTTTTGTGCTAATTCTACAGCTAACTATGTTATCTACAAAATGACACCAAATTTGTTACCCTATGCTAGTTATTTTAAGGGGGTGAGGAAGGATATTTTAGGTGGTGGATTTGTCGATAAAATAGCTGAAAAATACCCCCTTAAATATCGGTAGGTCGTGACCAAACACATTGTATATGCAAATTTCGAATGTGCAGTGATTAAAGCTGTACATACACCTAAAGTTAGCGATCACAGTTGGACAATGCTGCCCTTGGTAGGGCATTTTTCTGATACAAAAATTAAGAAAATCGTAAATACTATTAAGTACGAAAAACTTGAACGAGAACTTGCTGGCTGCTATTGGAATTTTGGTGAGAATATGGAAAAAATATATGACAACATAATAGGAAATATAAAAACTTGTTTAGATCTTGCAACTGATAAAAAAGTGATTTGCTCGACAAAAAATACACCCTGGTATAACAAGAATATTAATGCAGCTCAAAATTTGAGAGACAAACAATACAATAAATGTATATTCACAAAATCAAATGATGATTGGGAGGTATATAAAACTCTTAGGAATAAATGTGTATATGTAATTAGAGAAGAAAAAGGGAAATTCTACGATAAACAAATCGATAATAACAAGTGCTACAGTGTAAAGATGTGGAAGACTTTAAAAAGACTGATCAATTCGAAGCCGCATGATTGTGTAAATCAAGTTCAATTCAAAAACGGTACCGAAACAAATTCTTTGGTGATTGCAAACAAACTAAATGAATATTTTGTGGAAAGTACTGTTGATATTGTGGGTACTGCCAATGCTGCACCTGACTATATGAAAATCAGTTTCCAGGGGGAAATGTTGCATACACTTTCAAAATTTCACAGCGTATCATTGAATTATCTAAGAAAAAAAGTGAACAGTTTAAAATCAAATAACAACTGTGCCGAAATCACTACTAAAAACGTGCTGAAAAACTGTTTCGAAATTTTAGGATATCCTGTATTAAATTGGATCAGTTGTTCACTGAGAAGCAGTTCTTTCCCTGAAAATTTGAAATGCTCTACAATAACACCAGTTCCCAAAATAAAAAATTCTAAAAGATGCAGCGATATGAGACCAGTAAATGCATTACCAGACATTGAAAAATTATTAGAGTCCATAGTGCATGACCAATTAATGCAGTTTATAGAAGAAAACAACATTTTAGTGGAGGCGCAAGCAGGCTCTCGAAAAAAATATTCCACAGAAACAGCTTTCCAGTTGGTAACTGAGAATTGGAGAAGAGCCATAGACTCAGAAGAAGTTGTCATAGCAGTATTTTTGAATTTGAAGAGGGCATTTGAAACGATTGATAGAGATATTTTGTTAGGTAAATTGAAGTGTTTTAGATTGGTTTAGAAATTATTTGTTTAAAAGGATGCAAGTTACAAAAGCTAATAACACTATTTCATCAAAAATTGAAAATACGTTGGGTGTTCCACAGGGCAGTATCCTGGGACCACTTCTTTTTATTTTATACATAAATGATTTACCTGCCATAGTAAAAAAATGCAAAATTCAGATTTTCGCCGATGACACTATGATTTATATAAGTACTAAAAATATTCAGTCTGGTATCTCTTATATAAATGAAGACTTGAAGCTTGTCTCAAAATGGTTAGCATCTAACAGACTAAAATTAAATGCAAGTAAAACGAAAGCCTTGTTAATAGGAAAAAAACAATGTACAAATGAAAATTTTAAATACCTGGGGGTTTTTGTTGACTCTCGATTAATTTTTGATATTCATTATGAAAAAGTTATAAATAAGATTAGTAGTAAAGTGGGATATTTATCGAGAGTTTCTGGATGTCTGAGTTCATGTAGCAGAAAAATTATCTATAATACCATCATTCTTCCAAATTTCTTGTACTGTTCGACTATTCTATATTTAGCAAATAATTCCATTTTTGAAAGACTGCAAATTTTACAAAATAAGTGTATGAGAATAATACTAAAGATAAATATACTCCAATTAGGCAAATGCTTAGCAAATTAAAATGGCTCAGTGTAAAAAATTTTATCAAATATCTTGTAATGATATTCATTTATAAAGTAAAAAATAATATATTTCCATCAAGTCTAACTAATTTAACATCATCAAATGTCGACCATCATTTACATAATACCAGAAATAAAGATGACTTCCATTTAATGACCAAAAAGTATAACATATGCTACAAATCTGTATTCCATCAAGGGTTGATTGAATATAATAAATTATACTCGGAGGTAAAAGACCAGAAAACTTTGACAAAATTTAAAGTAAAATTGAGAAATCACTTGCTAAATCTACAATTATAGGTTGCCCAGCATTTACATCATACACCATATGGCTTGAATTTACTAGTTCTAAGTTGTTTACAATTATTCTGTTTATGTAGCCAAATGGGCTAAATAAATCTTTCTACTACTACTACTAACTGAACACCAATCTTCTGGGAGACAAAATATTCTTACGAATTCATAGTTTTTTCACTCACCTTTTTTGATAATACGCGAGTCCTTCTTGATCCGCATCATTATCAGAATGATAGTAACTTTCCGCAATCTTGTCAGGATCTACAGCTTTGGCGCAATGAGCGCAAAGCTCGATAATACCCTTGTAAGCTTTCAAAGCTATGAATTCTCTACAAACTTCGTTCAGGTTTACATTCGGGGCGATGTTCTTGCAGATTTGAAGCGCATTCAGGATCATTTCTTCCTTTTCGTCCACGTTCTGCACCGATCTGGTAGTTTTGAGTAGCTCGTGAGCCTAAGAACAACTAATATCAAGCGAAAGTTGGGGCATTCCTTTACAGTGTTATTGCTCGAAAACTAGGTTAGTCCGCAGATATGCGACCTCAGGATGAGGTTCTTTGTACCTTGTTTCAAAACTAGGAAATGAAGTAACAAGCAACAAGGTTGGGTCTCTGGAGCTAAGCAGACGCAAACTCACAAGGCACAGAGATTTATTGAATAAAAAAAAATAAAGAGAAGTCCTGGAAGGCAGGCTAAGAAAAATATTTCGCATTACCCCCCAGCTAAAAATAAATACCCCCATGCAGGTGCTTGGCTATTAACGGGAGTCCCAGAGATGTCAAAAATGTTTTCGAGTCCATGCATTATGCAAAAAAAAATAGAATCAGATGCAAAGATACTTCTGCTTAATGTCTCATACCTTAGAAAATGCGGCATCTTCAGTCCTGTACAAATTCGGACAAACTTCTCTCAGTTTGTTACTGATTGAATCAACCGAAGCATTGTCACCTAAATAGCTGTTGATTAAAGCAGTGATCAAGGCTGAACAAATATCTACCCTGTACATGAACATCTCCTTAAAGGTGCTGTTTTGTAGAATCTGTTGCTGATTTTCCGGAAGAGTAGCTATCAGCGTGTGGATCTGGTGTTCGCAAAGAATCCTCCACATACCTGGGGAAGAATTGAAGGTAGTGTCGTTATAGTATGTGATAGCATTAAATCATTGATTATCATATTCTTCAAGAAGGCACCAAACTATATGCAGTCAATAAACTTAAATTAAACACTAATAAAACAAAATGTATGTCAATAGGGAAACATTTAGTTGACAATACAATTAGGCTCATAATTAATGATGAAAAAATTGGAGTAGTCGAGTCATTTAAATATCTTGCTATATACAGGGTGTCCCAGAAGTTGACGTCAAGCCGAAACCGGGTGATAGGCAAAGTCATAACAGCTATCAGAAAAATATTTAAAAAAATTTTATGTATGTGTTTTGAAAATTATAGGTCTTTGAAAAAGATATAGAAATTTCACACCCTACGGCAGTCTGTCAACTCCTGTTACTACAAATATTAACTTTTTTTGGATTATATTTTTACAATGTAGTGATGAATAATGCATCTTCAAACTGGTGTCTCAACCTTACTGCCAAGTTTTCTCGTTCAGGAAAAATTGACACTTATTTCCCAACCAAGTATTCCAAAGTAAAACTTTGCTCAAATTTAACTGGCTGTACTGGAAAAAAATGTACTACGAGAGTTTGGCAAGTAACCTTAAAAGTTGGCGCATTTAATAAGGATTCCAAAATGGTATAACGCTTAGAAGATTACTCGTTAACTTATGCACAATTTTTATTTGAAGAAAAACTGATGAAAATTTTTCAAAATTTAATAATTAAACAGCGATTATGAAAACGCACAAGGACCCTTAAGGATAACTGTTTGCACAACAGTGGGCGTCAAAATGCTGCTGATGATGATTTACCTTTACAGCAAATGCTCAAACTGTTTTCCTTCAGCCGCAATACACGCTCGACATCTTCTTAAAAAAGATCGGGTTATTAAACGAGCGAATCCACGGTTATTAACAAACTCAGCTGCTTCCAATAGTCTTTGCCGTAGCTCAGCTACATATTGAATCGGCTTGAAAAACACTTTTTCTTTTACAGTTCTCCAGTAAAAAAATCTAAAGGATTCAAATCAGGTGATCGGGCTGGCCACGATATTGTACCAGACCCCCTTATCCATCGGCCTGGAAAGTTTTGATCGAGATACTCTCTCACTGAGAGTGTATAGTGCGCTGGGCAGTCATCATGCTGAAACCACATGTCCCTGTAAATATTCAGTGGCACGTCCACCAATAAATTTTGTACATGATTTTTCAAAAAATCCAAATAAACTTCAGCAGTCAAAGTCTCTGGGAACTCAAACGGACCGATTATTTTACCATTCGACCATCCGACCATAAAATTTTTTCAAAGAACTGTGGATCTTTCCTGTGTCTTTCTAGTATTGTGCGATAAAAAGCAACTCGGGGCTCATAATCCCGGGGCAGGAGAGGTTGAACACGCTGTATGTGGTATGGATGAAGCACATCACTTACTTGCTATTGCACAATTTGATACCGATCAGTACTCCTTCGTTTACTGCGCATCTTTACATGTTCGTGTTTGTTGATTTCGTACTGTTACTAATTTCGGATTAGTGAACTGGACTGTTGATCGCTTGTGATTTGAATTTGGACTGTTTAATTGCTCTTCAAAACAACATTTGCTTTCCTTAGACTATCTTTGATAGTGTGATTGTGCAGTGCCGCTATGTCCGTGTACACCGTACCTCATTTATGGGGAATGTAGATGCAATGCTAGTGCTGCAGCGAGACTTTACTATGAGAGGTACCCTAATGCAGCTCGTCATCCAGATCATCGAGTGTTCACAAATGTGCACCGCTTACTGTTTTCAGAGGGCCAACTACCAAACCAATCACACGGTGTGGGAAGATCTTTCCTTCCTTACGAAGACGTGGTGCTAGGAGCTGTCGAAGAAGACCCGAGTACTTCAGTGCGTGCAATAGAACTAAAAACAGGTGTGCCCAAAAGTACAACCCATAGAATCTTGCAAAAAAACGTGCTACATCCATACCACGTACAGCGTGTTCAAGCTCTTCTGCCCCGGGATTATGAGCCCCGAGTTGCTTTTTGTCGCACAATGTTAGAAAGACACAGGGAAGATCCACGGTTCTTTGAAAAAATTTTATGGTCAGATGAGACCACATTTAAGAAAGATGGGTACATGAACCTGCATAACTTACACGAGTGGCACGTAGCAAACCCACATTTGATGAGAGAAGATAAATCTCAATATCGCTTCAAGATAAACCATTGGACAGGAATTTTAAATGGTAAAATAATCGGTCTGTTTGAGTTCCCAGAGACTTTGACTGCTGAAGTTTATTTGGATTTTTTGAAAAATCATGTATAAAATTTATTGGTGGACGTGCCACTGAGTATTTACAGGGACATGTGGTTTCAGCATGATGGCTGCCCAGCGCACTATGCACTCAGTGAGAGAGTATCTCGATCAAAACTTTCCAGGCAGATGGATAAGGCGGTCTGGTACAATACCGTGGCCAGCCCGATCACCTGATTTGAATTCTTTAGATTTTTTTACTGGGGAACTGTAAAAGAAAAAGTGTATTTCAAGCCGATTCAAAACGTAGCTGAGCTACGGCAAAGACTATTGGAAGCAGCTGACTTTGTTAATAACCGTGGATTCGCTCGTTTAATAACCCGATCTTTTTTAAGATGTCGAGCGTGTATTGCGGCTGAAGGAAAACAGTTTGAGCATTTGCTGTAAAGGTAAATCATCATCAGCAGCATTTTGACGCCCACTGTTGTGCAAACAGTTATCTTTAAGGGTCCTTGTGCGTTTTCACAATCGCTGTTTAATTAGGAAATTTTGAAAAATTTTCATCAGTTTTTCTTCAAATAAAAATTGTGCATAAGTTAACGAGTAATCTTCTAAGTGTTATCCCATTTTGGAATCCTTATTAAATGCCCCGACTTTTAAGGTTACTTGCCAAACTGTCGTAGTACATTTTTTTCCAGTACAGCCAGTTAAAGTTGAGCAAAGTTTTACTTTGGAATACTTGGTTGGGAAATAAGCAGCAATTTTTCCTGAACGAGAAAAGTTGGCAGTAAGGTTGAGACACCAGTTTGAAGATGCATTATTCATCATTACATTGTAAAAATAAAATCCAAAAAAAGTTAATATTTGTAGTAACAGGAGTTGACAGACTGCCGTAGGGTGTGAAATTTCTATATTTTTTTCAAAGACCTATAATTTTCAAAACACTTACATAAAATTTTTTTAAATATTTTTCTGATAGCTGTTATGACTTTGCCTATCACCCGGTTTCGGCTTGACGTCGACTTCTGGGACACCCTGTATATGTGGATGGTAAGCTACTGTTTCACGAACATTATGAATTCATTATTTCAAAAATATCGAAAAAGATTATGTATTCCAAAAAAATTGTGTATAACACTATAATTCTGGAAGGGGTCCGGAAATCTGTTCTGCTGCGTCGTTTTGAACTAAAGTCTCTACAGTTAAGACGGTCTACTGCTGGCCTGTCATTCCTTCAAAAGCGTTTGCACGACAGAGTGCACCAGAGCTTCTCCAGAGGTTAAATACGAGAAGAACTCTTAACTTTCTACTGCAGTATCTCCCGTACCAATGTATTATTTTATTCACCGCTACATTCTATATGCAACAATTATAATTCCATAGCAGACAGTTCTGACATTAATTTTAATTGTATCAGTAAGATCTTGTCGAATTTCAGGTACTACCATAATAGCTAATTCTGTTTTTTAAGTTAGTTGTGAAGATACCATTATATTGACCTCTAATTGGAATAGTTCTGTTGGGCAATTATATATAAATAAATAAAAATGGTGTTACGGTCTGATCTGTCCAACGACGTGGAACACGAAAGCGAACGCGAAACTCACGTTGTGTTCGACCGATAGACTCGCCGTTTTGAAAGTAACGACGTACAGTGAACACACGATGCTCAACGTTCCAAACCAGCTTGCCAACTGAAACGGTACTTTTCCCACTATCCAACACGCCCCATCGACAGGGGACTCGATGTAGTACCGATTCGAAAAACATGCGTTCTTTCTGACGGACCCTGTAATAGGAGAAACGATGTTTTCCACATCTGTTTGCTATTATTTTTATCATCATCAATTTTGGTATTGCAATATTTTTTCTTTTCATCCCGTAGAACTGCTACAGATTGGTTTCTTCTTTCATGAACTATAACGAACGCTTATTCTCGCACAGGATAAAACAAATGTAAATAGATACTATAAGTCTGCCGTAAACGTCACCGAACGCTTATTCTCGCACTTTTCACCTAGACCGGGTACCTTAGAGAATATGTTAATAAACGATTAAAGTCGGAACTTTTCTTCCTGATTATTGAACACTCACCAATAATCTGACAGCAATGAGACACGAACGCCCTTAAAGCATTGAGCGACTGTCTTTCTTCCATTTGAGCATCTTGCACCGTACAACTGCCTCTTGTCACAGTGGCCGTTGTGTCCACTGAAGTGCTGATGTTGATCGTGGAAGAATTCGGAACTACTGTTGACAACTGCGTGTTTATAGTCAGGAAATTGTGCAGCGCGGATAAGCAGTTCAGGATCAGGACGCAGTCTTCGTTCGTGATAGAGCTTTGGCACTGTTTTAGGAAGAAATTGAGTGATGAAATCCAGGTTTTTTTACAAAACGGACGAACCTGACAAATGAGAGGTAGAACAAAGTAAAAGACCCAATTTTTTAACGTTACTTACCGTAAACGTCCTGTAGTCCACAACTAACCTCTCGACGCATCTTCTGCTCCACACCGGCCTCAAAATCCTGCTGAGGTAGAGGTAGAGTCCGTTGTGTTTTGGCGAGAAAATAAAAGGAGACGCCACTTCGTACGTTACTCCGTGCGGGGCTAGCGACTGCGACATGCTGGGGGTCGGGGGTAAATGTTGTTGTTGCTGGAAATGGTGAGGAGCTGGCGTTGAGACTATATGGGGCATGAAAGGCGTCGTGGTTGAAACTGAAAAAAAGATATCAAGTAAAGAGTAAATTCTTAAGGCACCTCGGCAGTCATACGCTTTAGTAAGATCAAGAAAGACCGGATGAGTTTACGTCACGTTGGGCATCACCTATTCCACTTACATATATTCGCAGGAGGCATAGGTATCAATTTGGGCTCTCCCCCGTAGACGAAGAACGCCCTGGTAGCAAACTCGGCAACCTCCTTATTTTCGTCATTCGTCAACGACGCCAAAATCAACGCAGTAGCGCAAGCCTGATCCTCTTTTTGGATGGCAAAGAACGCCTTCAGCGTCTCGGTGTCACCTCCTCTGCCTTCTCGGAGGATCTCTCTCAAGAGGTCAACAGGTCGGAGTTTGGTGAAGATTTGGACGCCGTGTGAGGTCAGGACTACGTAGCGTTTCGGTGGTTCCATATGTTGACGTACGACTAAGGGCGGCAGTTCTTGGTCGGTGAGGCTGTAGAGGTGGGTATCGTGACGGACCTGGAGGTTAAAAAAAATGGTGGTGAAGACCTTCGGTAATAAGCTGTAATTTCATAAACAGCCAAGCGGCAAGAGGAAGATCGTTCTAGAATAGTGAATTGATCATGTCATGGAGTACTTTTGGCACAGACAAAATTGCACTATTAAGCATCCCACAAACCGGCGCGAAATAATCGCGGCGAAGTATTCGCAACGAAATTCAGAGCGAAATTCGCAATCTGTTTCGCCTATTTATTCATACCAAAGCGTCTTATTCGCTCCGCGAACGTGAAGGTTTCGACAGGTTGCGTACATTTTATTTTTGTCTTTTGCAATGAGCTCGACTTCAGAAGAAGAGGAGGCACTTCTATTTCTTGCTTTAGAAGAGGAACAAAATGCACGGTAAGTTATGTTTATTTAACGCCATTTGATAGTTGGGTATGTATTAAGTTTAACGAAGTACATAAAACAAATATTTTCAATTTTGTTTAGGAAACGAAGGAAGTGGGTACATGATATTAACTTGGAACGAAATAAATTTGGGGAATACCATACCTTGATGCCACAACTTCGGCTGGATGAACAGCGCTTTTACGTATATTTTAGAATGACTCCAGAGTGTTTCGATGAAATATTGAACTTGGTGAAAGATGAAATACGAAAATCTGACACAAATTATCGTGAAGCTATTTCGCCAGAAGAACGACTTGCTATTACACTCAGGTAAAAAAATTATATGTATTAAAATTAGTAGGCTTATCGAATACGAAAACTTCAGGGATCGAGAAATAAATATTTTATTGTAATAATTGGACTACATGTTGCCACTAGGATTAAATGTTGCTAAATAATTCGAGGCAGAATTTGCCTCCTCTGTTGGGTATATTATTGGAGTAAACCCAGTGCCGCTTGGGAAGGACGACATACTACTATCATACATACTTGCAGAATTCTGGGTAGAGGCTGAAGACATTTCTTCAATATGTTCAAATTCTTCGTGCGCTATTAATTCGGCTATTTTTAGTTTTATTCGGGCTTGACTCTTTAAGGGAAGTGTTTTTACAGTCTGTGCATGTGCCAAGAAAAGTGAATCAATGGCCTCGTTCTCTTTTTTAGGTTTTTTACCTTCAAAATAATTAATGAGCTGTTGTACAGACGAAGATGGTGGTTCATAGCGTTTTGTGCTCGTTTTATATTTTGGTGTAGTTGCAGTCTGCGGAAAGGTGTGCCCTGGAGTAGTCACTGCTGTAGTGTTCAATGAAGAAGGTGGTGCTGTCTGTGTTGCCGACGCGTTCTGTGCATCTTCTGCATCTACATCAGCATTTTCATCTTCTCCATGGCCGCGGTCTTCCAAATTTTCGGTTTCTACATTTCCGGCCCTTTCCTGATATATATTTGAGTTAAATTCGGCAGTCTCATAATGTATGACGTCAATATATTTCACATTAGACGACGTTTTGGAAAATGCCAAAAAAGGACGGAAAAATTCCATGTAGTCAGCCCACTGCCATTTCTTTATGTTGCCCACTGCTTGGCCGGTCTTTGGTTTGGTAGATTTTATATATTTTGCAAATGTGTCTCTGATATTCTTCCACCTTTTTTTTACTGCATCACCTAAAAACGATTTTTTTTATAGATTCCTTGCCACTGGTGACACCTTCTATACCATTGGGCATAGCTTTCGAGTTGGCTTTAGAACAGTGAGTGCAATCGTAACCGAAGTCTGTGAAGCGATATGCAGACATATGGAGCATATATATTTACCAGAACCAACAGAGAATATATGGAAAAAATGTGCTGAAGAATTTGAAAATAGATGGGATTTCCCAATTGCATTGGCAGCGTGGACGGTAAACATGTAACAATCAAGAGACCTAACAACAGTGGCTCCAATTACTGGTGCTATTTACATAAATATTCAATAGTACTTATGGCCATTGTTGGCCCGGACTATAAATTTATATGTGTTGATATTGGTGGTTTCGGAAAAAATAGTGATGGGGGTATTTTCGAAACCTCAAACATGGGAAAACGATTTGAACAAAATTTAATGAGTGTCCCTGCACCTAGATTTCTCCCTGGGCAAAATGAAATCTGCTCGTACGTCTTAATTGGTGATGAAGCATTTGCTTTAAAACCATACCTTATGAGACCATTTCCTTATAAGCAGACTTTAACAGACGTCAGAAAAGAGAAATACAATGTAAGACTTTGTCGAGCTAGAAGGGTCGTGGAAAATGCGTTTGGTATTTTGTCTCAAAAATAGCGAATATTTTACAGGCCATTAGAAACTAAAGTAGATACTACTATTCTAATTGTACGTACGGCATGTGTTTTACACAATTTTTTACGAAGTAAAAGTGGCGATGACAAATATTTTCAATTCTTAGATCCCCAAGCTTTTACTGATATAGCAAATGATCCTCGGCGGGCAGCAAGGCTAGCATTTTCTACTCGTGACAAATTCGTAAATTATTTTAATTCTGATATGCCTATGCCCAATATATAGAATGTTCGTTTTCACATTTGTGTAGACTGTAAATTATTTAACAAGTTAATAAAAAATATTAGGTACATACCATTTGTATTTAATTCTTTTCCTATTTCCATCCAAATCTTGTCTTTCTTTCTCACATTCCTGCATTCATCGTTCGACAAATCATACAAACAAGGATACTTTTTCACTATCACTCTATCAATAATTCCGTTTTTGCCATTGCGAATTTTAGAAGAACGGCGTCAAAAACGCGGTCAAAGGCGAACTGAAATACGCCGCGATAAAAACGCTGGAACAATCGCATTAGCTTCGCACAAGTCTGAGCCTGTCCGTAAACCGCCGCGTTTTAATCTGATCGCGAATTCATCGCCGCGAAATTTTCGCAGCCAAAGCGAATATTTCGCGCCGGTTTGTGGGATGCTTTAATCAGGGTTCCAGAATATCATGACATTCATATAAATATCATATCACATATGAGGGATCACTTATTTTTGTGGTATGCTTAAGCAATTGGATTTTGATCATTAGTTATAAGCAAATCTTTTTCTGTTTTCGAAAAGTTCATAATCTTTGCATAGTCATTTATTTTCTGCCATACTTCATGGAAGTTTAGCCTTGTTTATAGAAATCTTTAATGTGAAAAGTTATATTGAAATCTCCTAAATGTACATTTGTGAAATTCCTGTAATAATTTACTTAAAAAATCAATAAATCGATTGACGCTTCCACTTGGAGATTGGTAGTGAATATACAGATTGTATCCTTTAAAGTTTTATCTGTTCCACTTTTTAGGTCAAAAGTAAAAAAATTTGTTTTTGAAAATATGTCATAATACCTTATATTATTTAGTTTTTAACTTATGTAATGGTGTAACTGTTAACTGTGACTATATATGATTTTTACTTTAAATTAAAAAAATGCCTATTCTTGGCATAATAGATTTTTCATTATTGTTACTCAACAATGTTTATGTCTCCCAGATTTTGTATTATAATTTTGTTTGGCCCTGGTTGGTATGAAAAACAGCTTTTAGCTGACACCCGCCAGGTTAAATAAAGGCTATTATTATTATTATTATCCTCATTGCCAGGTTAATGCACCACCATTGATATCCAACAACTTCAATGTCCTGTACCTTCACTTCAATGCTATATAGTGAATACATCAATATACCACCTGTTTATGTATTTGTGCTCTCCTACTATTAGACACTGTAAGTTTGTCGTAAACTATATCGTACCTCGGCGATCGCCAACGCAGGTCCATCGAGATTGACAGCCGTATAAGCTTCTGTGAGCGTTTGATTGAACGGAAACAAATCCGAACTGATACACCACAACACGTCCTTCTCGTTCACCGTCGATATCAGCACGATGTTCCTGTCTCTGTAGTGAGACACGTGGACTGCACGTGGCCGCACCGTGATATTAGCGGAATAGCCGGGTGGTAAACGCACGTGCACGAGAGTGAGCGTGTACGGACGCTGGTTCGGGTGCATGTTGGAAAGATTCACTACGGTCAAGTAGAACCTAGGTAGAGACAAAAGTATTGGTTGTCATAGGGGCATCTAATTTTTGCGAAAAAAAAAAACGAAAAAACACGTTGCTAAGTTATATTTGCTGGCAACAAAAATCCAAGTCGAAGACGAGAATTTTTGCACCTGCACAACTTGTCTAAAATTTTATAAAAAAAAATTAGGCACACATTTTATTCTTTGCTGAAATTTGAAACAATCTATTTTTTTGGGTCTGCCACTGTATATCTCAAGAATATGAAGAGCGTTACATAATGAGGAAAATTTGACACCCTATATCCTGAAAAGCAGACTTTTTAGGACATGTTTTTACTTGGTGGACTAGAAGGCTGTCAAACTTTAGTGCTTCTATAACAACAAATATTCTGGGATTGTATACACTAACCTGACTCCTGTTTGAGATACAGCCACAAGATTAATATTTGTTGATTCTATTGACTCCACTGCAGATATACCTACTATGGGTCTGAAGTTTTGACTGTCCAAGGTTCTGTAAAATATGAGATATTGTCATAAAACAAACCTTCATAATATATATAAACAAGGCTGTTAAAACTGAACTCGGCACTTATTTAAACCACACTTCTAGCTTTTTCAAGTCATATGCACATGCTAGATAGAAATAAAACATGGCATTGATTGACATGTTCACTGTTTGGCACGACAACAAGGAATGATAGTTTATAGGCGGCCAGTGAGGAGGAAGGTTCCTACCTTGCCGTCGGTGAGCCGCTTTCCTTCGCTGCGTGCGCGGTTTGGTGAGATACGAGGGTACTACAAGTAGTATTTACTTCGACGAGACCGGAACATAATTAAACGGACGTAAGTCAATTTTGACTTATGACATTTTGATGAACCTAACAATTTGTTGAGATCAATTCAGAGAAATTGTATGAGTAGATATATGAAAGAAAGGTATGATAAAGACCTAATAAAATAATTATAAAAAATTATAATTATAGGATGATTAAATATATTGGAAATTGTTAATCTAGGAATTATAGGAAGAATAATTTCAACATCAAAAATTGAAAAATGATGGCAATTAAAAAAAAATGTAGAGAAAATGGCAAACGAGCTGTGAATCCTGCTTTTTTCTCTATCTATGAAGCTTAAAATATTTAAATTAAAAATTGATTAAAATGAAATCATAAAAATTATTGAAGCTAAAAAGAGTATCATTTTAATTATTTATACTAGGATTTTCTAGATTTTTTAATTGTAATATTAATAATACATTAATTAACTAATAGATCATAATCAAAACTGGGTCTAGAACCAAATTCTTTTAGCTTCTGGAGTAAAAAAGCCTCACATTGATTATGCATAAGCTGACAGAATTGACATACCCTTTTAACAATTTGCTACATTAATAATTTCTTACTTGACTGTATTCATAGCTTGGTTAACTAACAAAGTCTGTGACATCTTTGTCACCCGACAGAATGTGTTGCCTTTTTCACCTAAATCATACACTTCTATGGTTCCCTTTTCACTCAATGTATACAAGATATGCCTACTATCGTCTATGGAAATTTGGCAGATGCCATCTTCCTCACTAAGTGCAGCATTCAGAAACGCTGGTACCAAAAATGACAGGGCACTGGTGGAGAGATTGACTTTTTTGCATCTTTTACCAAACCATCCACTTTCAGCCTAAAAAAATAATGAATACCATTGGCCCTCTGAAAAACGTTTGCTTTATGTTATCTTTATTATATTATTATATATAAGACATTATTATTATTTACCATCAAAACTACTGATACAGATGTAAAATGTTTGGGTTATCTACTGGTGTTTCAGAGATCAAAAATGCATCTGAAAGATATTAGTGCCATCTAGGAGACAGTAGCAGAAGCAAGCACTAATTCTTTTCAGAATGGATTTCAAAATTTAGGATCCTTATACGATGCTGGTGTAATAGTAATAAGGAAAAGAAAAGCAAGATTTACCTTCAATAAAATGTTTGTTACTGATGATAAAAATATAAATACCTGGTAGGAAATTTCAAAGAGTGACCCTTCCTTTGTCCCATAGAACAATCTGCCATCATCAGTCCCCGATATAACAGAAACAGTTGCCCCATCTGTTGGTATCGTAAATACAGGATCAGGAATCAACTGAATCTCATCTGTTGTCACTGTAGGACCATCGGTGAATGTTACTCCAAGTACCACAATATCAACAGCAGTAGCAATGACTAGCAAATATCTGATAAAGGCTTGGAAGACACCTGCTTTTGGTTTCACAAGCCCTACACATATTATCGTCTCACTGATGCCATCAAAATATGCAAGGTCTGTGTTTTCCTCATATGTCCAAACATAGATGTCACTGTCTACTGTTAACCAGGCTCTGCCTATTTCTGAGAATAGACCCATCATACAATGGCACTGCACATCTTTTGAGATAGTTAAGGATCACTTTTAGTTTAAATGTAAGTTATTTTTAAAAATAGTGCTTGTGAATTGTACCTTGAAGGTTTCCTAATAAGAATAGGGAATGGTCTAAGGGTGTTGAAAATTGATAAAAGTAAAATAGTTAGCTCTACGAAAGGATACGAGTAAAGTGATCCACAATCTCTGGAGGCAAAGGCACCGTGTTGACGCACTTAACTTGCGTGAGATTATTCAAAGCTAGTGGCAGTCCATTTAACGTGGGGTAATCTTGGTCTGTAAGCCCGCTAACTGTGGGGCCAGTCTGTGCGTTGATGTTCATCAAATCTATGAGTCTGGGGGCGTTGCTGTCAGCCAGGAGGGCTTTATCGACGTTTCTTGCTGCTACTTCCATTCTGGGAACGGACAGTTGGGTACTGTTTATAGTTTTGCTGTATAAAGTTGTCGAGTTCATCGCTGCCGCTTATAACCTAAAAATACTGGAGTTTTTCACAGCACCGCTTGCATAGTCTCAATGGAATTATCTGAATTTGGGGTATTTTGATACGAGTAAAAGTACGGTGAGTGAAGAGAACGTTATTTTGAATTTGAAATTAAAAATCAAGTCAAATAAAATTCTAACCAAAAAACTCGGCGCCAAACGGTTAGAGATCACAAAACACCAAAAAATGACACAGAGCATAAAACAGGTTGGCCATCCATAGAAACTCGCCATCTTCAGCATAACAGTGGGATGAAAATGGCCGACTGGGTGAAAGATGGCGGTTCGGCGGTTGTGTGTGGATGGAAGACTCTTTGACAGTTAATAGCGAAGTTTCGTTTCTTGTTCGTCTTCTATGTAACCCTGTAACTCAATGTTCTGTGCCTATAACCTATAACCATATTTTTATTTCCAATTTTCCAACTCGTAAATAAACAAGGGTTTTGAAAATGATTCGGCAATTTGGATAAATTTGATTTAACCAACGCAACAATTTACTGTATGAGAAATAAAATATGTGGAAGCTAATTCAGTGCTCATCAAATGTCCACAACACTTTTAGGTTGTAGGATTTTTGTTTTTCAGCACATTTTTATTATGTAACTGCATTTTAGGCATACTATCCTCCAACAATGCCGTTCAACAAGACCCACATATTACAACAATATCAGAAAGGCATTCTTTCATGCGCCCAGCAAGACAAGGGTCTCAAAATGCGCCCCCAAAATTATACCCATCGGACTGAGTCTTGCTGGTGGGGCCTTCGTAAACGTGATGATAAGTAGGAATAAAGTATTGTGTGAACCGAAAACACGGATGGCGGGGTATAGGACAGTCTCTGATAAGAATTTGAGATTTGATTGGGCTAAATTCTGGACATATCTGAGGCCACATATTTGGTATTTTATAGCTGCTATTGCTGTAAGTAAAATATATGTTCCTAGGAGTTGGATTCCTCTAGTTGTGGATAAAGAACCTTGGATCTTGCAATATCTGTAAATACTACAAAAGGGGGGTGCTATGGGTGCTTCTTTCTTAGTTATTATCACCTTTTTTTATAGAAATCTTAAGGCATTACATTGAATATCAAGTGCAGTGTCAAGCAAAATTGCATAGCAGCCCTCTGTTGCAAGGTTTGCTAGTAAAAAAGTCTGAATAGAATACTAATTTACATATTCAAAATAGGAGCATTCTGATCAAACCTCTACAAAAATCTTTTTGGACCATATCAAAATACTTTACCATCATCTTCCTATTTGCTGTTTCCCTTCATTATTTCATTTCCTCTTCCCTTTTTTTGATTAATATTGCCTGACTTTTGGGGTATACCAATGAATTTGAATAGGTTAGAACCCAAACTTTACTTGTTACCAAAATTGCCTGCTTTTGATTCAATTTACTACTATTGTCTACCAAAGTGACAGCATTGGATCAACACAATAATAATACTTACTGGTGAAAAGATTTACCTTCATTTGGCTTGTGCGTCTATTTGCAAATTATGCAAGAAGTAGCATGTCCTGAAAATCGTCTAACGCCACAATTATCTTCAAACACACGCACTTCTAGATAATAACACTATAATTACGAATTTAATGACAGAACTGTCAAAAAATTCAACTTGTGGCAAGTCCTGATCACAGACTGATATTTTGGAGACAAACAAATCTTAGGCTTGCTACTTCTACCTAGTCCAAATTTGTTAATATTGACAGACTTATTTGCTGATGCTATGCTACAAGAGTTAAAATCATTTGGACCTCTATGACATTATGATTATATTTTCATATTAAAACAACTGAATGTCTTATAGGGTGCTCTAGTTGTGGCAGTTCTGAACATACAGATTCCTCAAGTGATGGGCGGTCTGATAAATATTTTGGCCAAATTTACTGAAAGTAAGGATAGTCTTCAGTTTATGAACGAAATAAAACCAACAGCATTCAAATTGATTGGGATGTATATTGCTCAGGTTGGTAAGTTTCTTTGAAAACAGCATGCAAAACATAACAATAAAAAATTAATTTGCGCTATATTCGCCACCTTTTCAAAAAGAACTATAATTTGTCTATACAAGGTGGCCCAATGAAAAGGTCACACCCGCATTTGTGACTCTCCTGGTATATTTTCATCCATAGCCGTACAATACAGGGTGGTCAAAAAATAACACTAAAGATTTTTAAATGGACACCCCCATTTTTTTAATTTTTAGATTTTCCATGAAGTTTTTAGTAACTTTTGTATTCAGTTTATACCTATCTTCAATTGTTTTTTAATTTTAACTTAATACTCATAATAATGGCATGCACCCCAAAAAATAATAATCATGGATACCAGTAAGAACATTTAGCATCAGTAAGTGTATACTTTATCTGAAGTCACTTGAAACACTGTGAAATACCGGGTGCGTTTTATATATCTATATTTAACACGCTCTGTTGCTGCAAAAATCGCCAAAGGCAGTTTCACCGGTCCACGTGGAGTAAAGCACGCCTATGCGTGGACATATCCAATGAGAAAGCGTGTATTTCAGAGCTCCGAATAAGTGCAGGTGGCTACTGAAAATTGAAACAGTTTAGCCAGTGCCGTGTAGCGGTGAATAAACGTGTTTTCTTTAGTCTGTCCGTGTTTTTTCATAGATTTTATTAGTTTGTGTGTTTTTGACTTTTGAATACTCAGTTTACTTGTTGATTTAATTGTTGTGTTGATTGTTCTTGTGTGTCCTAAATATGGCTCTTTGGAGACCTTGGGAAAATGCTCCAAGCCACGAGGAGATGGTTGATGAACCTGTGCAGGCAGAATTCTTTCATAAAGATTTAGAGGAACAGACCCAAAGAGTAATCCTAAATATGTATGATTGTCTGAAAAACGAAAATCCAGATTCCTCGCAAAATCAAATTTTAAACAGAATTTGTATCCTGACAAAAATCAGTCGGTCTACCATTTATCGGGTTATAAAAAGGGGAGATGTAGTCAACCATTCCTTCCACAGAAAGCGCATAGGGCAAAAATTAAAAAGAATAGACGTGGGTTTTCAGGAAGATATACGTCGTATAATATACGGATTTTATAAAGAAAATTTGGTGCCCACGTTGGAAATGATACGGGATAAATTAAAAGATTATCCTAAAGATTTTTATAATTACAAATGCTTAGACTCACTGCACTGTATTGTAAAACTGTGTGGTTTTCAATACAAAAAATTAGATAAAAGAATGGTGATTATGGAGTCGTCTCGAATCGTTCAATTGCGCCAAGAATTTTTGCACAAAGTTAAAATCTATAGAGAGCAGGAAAGAAATCTGATTTACCTGGATGAAACGTGGTATGATACCCATGATGTTGTGCAGTACGGCTGGGTTGACGACAGAAACAAGTGCATTTTAAATGCACCATGCAACCGTGGAAAACGAATCATTGTTCTCCATGCTGGAAGTGAAAATGGATTTATATCCTAATGCCTTGCTGTTATCTGCCAAAAATATCAAAGAATCATGTGCCGACTATCATGAGGACTTGACCTCCGACTTATTTGAAAAGTGGATAGAGCAGCAGTTAATACCAAACATTTCCCCAAATTCAGTGATTATTATGGACAATGCGCCATACCATTCCCGACAGAAAAACAAAATTCCGAATACAGGCACAAAAAAACAAGACATTATTGATTTTATGAAGGATAAGGGAATGGAAATACCACAAAAATCAACCAAAGCCATATTATTGGATCTTATTAAAAGACAAAAATTTGAAAAAGAGTATGTTGTTGACAATCTGCCTTAGCAAAATGGCCATGAAGTATTACGTCTACCTCCCTATTACTGCATTTTTAACCCGATTGAGTTGGTCTGGGCTGCTTTAAAAAAAAAGTAAGAAAACATAATCAGACCCCTCAATTAAGTGAATCGCTATTGGCCACAATAAGAGATGCAGTATCTCATATTGCTGCTACAGACCTATGGAAGCAGTGTTCTAGGCATATTATTGAAAAAGAAAATGAATATTGTGTTTTGCCTCCTGTAAATCCCGTTGTAATTCCTCTACAAGATGACTCTAGCGACAGCTCCGAAGGCGAGGACCGCACGCCTATAATACGTCATGAAATTACAAAGGACGCGCCGACCAAAGGTTTTTATGCTATTTCAAGTGACTTCAGATAAAATATAATTGTACATCATAGGAAAACTTTGTCTTTCATTTCAAATTGATAAGATACCTAACTAGTTGTGATAAATATTACATATTTCAAGAAAGGGTAGAAATAACAAAACTGTATTACCAAAATTCACAAAAGCTATTGCCCGGTTGTTTAATGTCTTACAGCCAGTCAAAAATATTAATAAGTATGTGGCCAAGTTGGTAATCTGAGCGTTTTTTCTAAAATGTAGGCATTGGGGGTTTATTTAAACTGTGAAGTATATAGCAGATGAAGTTCATGTCTTCTATAACAATTATTAATCATTTACTGTTTTCAGAGCGTCTTCACCTTTTTTTATATCACAATGCTCTCTAATTTGGGCGAAAAAATTGCATACTGTATGAAAACAGATCTATTTTCTTCAATCTTGGACCAAGATATAGCATTTTTTGATAAAAACAGGACTGGGGAAATCATAACTAGGTTGGTATCAATATACACTTTCTATACAAGACTGTATAGCAAACATCTGTGTGGTCATTTAGTGGTTTGACCTGATCTGGATACAGTTAAATCCCAAAATGTGGAACATTGACCAACAGTGTTGGTTACTTCATGATTTGACTAGTCAAACTTACGGGGTTTGTAAATTAAGTGATAATAAATCGTTTTTTTCTGGCAGGCTGACGTCAGACATACAAGATTTCAAAAGTAGCTTCAAACAGACTGTGTCAGGTGGTTTAAGGGCAGCAACTCAAATCTTAGGTTGTTCAGTTTCACTAGTGATGATCTCGCCTGAAATGACATTTGTCACTTTACTCTGTGTACCTTCTGTGATTGCCGTGGGGACAATTTTCGGATCTTTGCTTAGAGTGACATCGAGAAGAGCTCAGGCTCAGGTATGGACTTTAATTTTGAACTATGATCTAGTACTTCAGGGCTAAGTTATCTACGTTTTCTTATTTCTCAGAATGACAAAACTACGGCAGTTGCAGATGAAGCTGTCAGTAATATAAGGACCGTCAGGGCATTTGCAATGGAAGACCAAGAAAAAGAACTGTTCAACGCAGAAGCAGAGAAAGGGATGTCCCTAAGTCAGAATTTAGGCGTTGGAATTGGTTTGTTTCAAGCTGGAACTAACTTGTTCATTAACGGGTACTTTTTTTATGCTTTTTTAACGCTGCAAGCTTTGGATCAAAAGCGTCACTTTATACTTGTAGCAAGATTTGGAAGCGTTTGAGTTGATCCTCGTTTTCATTTTCAGAATGGTTTTAAGCACACTTTACATGGGTGGTTATCTTCTTTCAACAAATAAACTGTCAGCTGGTGAAGTTATGGCATATCTAATGGCCTCACAAACGATACAGAGGTCTCTTGCCCAAGTTTCATTGCTTTTCGGGTCAGTTATAAGAGGGGTAGCTGCAGGGTCCAGAATTTTTGAGGTATATTCAATAAACGAAACATAATTTTTTTATGCATCCACCTTGATTGGTGTAAATGGTTTTAGTATATAAATATGCAACCAACGATGCCTCTAAAAGGTGGAAAAATCATCCCAGATGGTTTACTGAAAGGTGACATCATGTTCAAAAATGTCACTTTTGCCTATCCGACAAGAAGGCAACAGGTAAGTCTAACGGCAGGCTATTGGTATTACAAATAATTATTCGTTTATTGTAGGAGGTTCTTAAACATTTCAACTTAACTGTACCCGCCGGGAAAACTATCGCTATTGTAGGTGCGTCTGGTAACGGGAAATCTACCGTTGTGGCACTTTTAGAAAGGTGATCATATTTTTCATATAGTTTACGACAGTCTTATAGTGTTTGTTTACATTTTTCTGCTTTATGGTCTAAATAATGATGAACGCCGCATCATGTTACATTCGAGCAATGTAATATAAAATAAATCGCTTTTTTTTATATTCCAACTACCACGAAGGCCTAAGGCCTAAGCACCCATTGGGTACCGTGGGGCTATGGGGGATACATGGGAAAGGGGGGACGCCACACGGACTCTGGCTAGGGAACACGTGTGCATGCAACATGCACACATTCTGGCTCCGCCTACGAGAACCGCCGGGTGGTACCTCCACGTTCGATAGTCAGAGACCATCTACCACCTACGGACAATCACAACATCCATAGCCAAGAGAAAAATTTCTCCTGGGACGGGACTCGAACCCGCACAGCGAAGGCCAATGATCAGGAGACCGAAGAGTCTACTACTGCGGCCACCGCTGCTATTTGGATGCAATAAATTATTCACATCATTTAAATGAAGCGACTCGAACTTCTACCCCTGTCTCGTTCCCTCATCTTCCCAAGCTAGTAGGGGCCGCCTACTCGGTTTTATGGCGTTTTTACGACCGCCGATAGAAACCGCAAACTTATACGCTATAAGTGACATATAAATCCGAACACCCAGTTTAAATGGTTTTATTTCAATAAAATTTTGTATAAGTACTTAATGAAGCATAATAAGTAAATGATAAAAATTTCAAAATGATTGCACTGCTTTAAAGCCCTTTGACCTTTAATAATGTGTGGATGCACCCTGATGTGCTACGCATTCTCCAACGCGCTTAGGCATGCTTCTGATCAGGTGGTCAATGTCCTCCTGTGGTATCTCATTCCAAGCAACCACCAACTCCTCTCGAAGTGCTTCTAGAGTCTGAGGAGGACGATGCAAATTGAGCAATCTCGTACCCATCATATCCCACACGTGCTCAATTGGGGATAAGTCGGGAGATCTTGGCGGCCATGGTAACAATGTGACATCATTATGTTGAAAGAAGTCTATTGTGACTCTTGCAACATGTGGTCGGGCATTATCTTGTTGGAAAGTTTGATCTGCCAGGGTGTCAAGATAGGGTAAAAGATGGGGTTCTAGAACTTCGTGGATATAACGCTGCGCGTTCATGTTACCTCTAATGAAGATTAAAGGTGACCTGGAACCATAAGCTATAGCACCCCAAACCATAACTCCAACAGTGTGATGAACATGTCTTTCAACAAAAAACTGTGGATTCCTCCTTTCACCACGTCGCCTTCTAACCCTTTCACGACCATCGTGCATGCCTAAACAAAATCGAGACTCGTCACTAAAGACAATACTGTTCCATTCCTGATACCAGAGTGACCGTTGTCTGCACCACTCAAGGCGATTAAGTCGGTGTTCCCGAGTTAAAGGGAGGACCCAGTGTGGCCGGTATGAAAACAAACCAAAACTTCTCATTCGTCGGTAAACACTTCGCATACCAATAGGTCTTCCGTGTTCTGCAAACCATTCATTTGCTATGGACCTGGTAGTGGAGAAAGGGTCGCTTAAGGCCAATAATCTTAGGCGGCGACTTTCACGGTCTGTTGTTCTACGGCGGCGTCCAGTGCCCCTTGCTCTTTGCGTACGGCCTTCTCGAAGTCATGCCTGACAACACCTAACCACAGTGCCTACACTTCTTTGCACTCTAACTGCAATTGCCCGAAAAGAAAGTCCAGCTTCCCGAAGTCCCAATATAAGGCCCCTATCAAACTCACTAAGTTGACGAAATCGTTATTTACAGTAAGATAAATACATTCACCAACTTTTATTAAAATAAAACCATTTAAACTGGGTGTTCGGATTTATACGTCAGTTAGTATATACCATTTCTCGATAAAAGAGTTCAAATCGAAAAAAAAAAAACGTTTGATGGTGTTTTCAATTAAATTATGGTTGATTTTTTAGGTTTTATGATGTCAAAGAAGGGTCTATAACGCTTGATGGGCAAGATATAAGAACTTTGGACCCGACTTGGTTGAGAAAAAGGGCGTTGGGACTCATCAGTCAAGAACCGGTCCTTTTTGGTACTTCTATAATCGAAAATATTCGGTACGGAAAACCGGACGCTACAGACGAAGAGGTGAAATACAAAATAGAAACCAAGTTGACAAAAAATATGACTTTTTACGGATTGAATGTTTTCAGGTGCAAAAAGCAGCAGTGTTGGCGAATGCGGATGAATTTATAACAAGTTTTCCAAAAGGTTACAATACTATGGTAGGAGAAAGAGGTGTCACACTTTCAGGGGGTCAAAAGCAAAGAATCGCTATCGCAAGAGCTCTTTTGAAGAATCCTTCAGTGCTTTTGTTAGATGAAGCTACAAGGTTAGTCTGTCATCTATTTTTGTAGATTTTGTCTAGATTTCACCTGTTCCGTGTCACTTGCAGCTCTTTCCTATTGTGAGGTTATTTTTTCTCTTTGAATTGTTATGGCCTCCTAGATTTTTATAGTCTCTTCTCTCCTTCCTAAAAGCCGGGGAATATCTAGATTTCACCTGTTCCGTGTCAGCTCTTTCCTATTGTGAGGTTATGTTTTCTCTTTGAATTGTTATGGCCTCCTTGATTTTCATAGTCTGTTCTCTCCTTCCTAAAGGCCGGGGAATATCTAGATTTCACCTGTTTCGTGTCAGTGTCAGCTCTTTCCTATTGTGAGGTTATGTTTTCTCTTGGAATTGTTATGGCCTCCTTGATTTTCATAGTCTCTTCTCTCCTTCTGGAAGGCCGAGGAATATCTACATTTCACCTGTTTCGTGTCAGTATCAGCTCTTGTCTATTGTGAGGTTATGTTTTCTCTTTTAATTGTTATTGCCTCCTTTATTTTCATATTCTCTTCTCTCCTTCCTAAAGGCCGGGGAATATCTAGATTTCGCCTGTTCCGTGTCAGTGTCAGCTCTTTCCTATTGTGAGGTTATGTTTTCTCTTTGAATTGTTATGGCCTCCTTGATTTTCATAGTCTCTTCTCTCCTTCCTAAAGCCCGGGGAATATCTAGATTTCACCTGTTCCGTGTCAGTGTCAGCTCTTTTCTATTGTGAGGTTATGTTTTCTCTTTGAAATGTTATAGCCTCCTTGATTTTCATAGTCTCTTCTCTCCTTCCTAAAGGCCGGGGCATATCTAGATTTCACCTGTTCCGTGTCAGTGGCAGCTCTTTCCTATTGTGAGGTTATGTTTTCTCTTTGAATTGTTATGGCCTCCTTGATTTTCATAGTCTCTTCTCTCCTTCTGGGAGGCCGGGGAATATCTAGATTTCACCTGTTCCGTGTCAGTGTCAGCTCTTTCCTTTGTAAGGTTATGTTTTCTCTTTAAATTGTGGGAAATTTTAGGCTAATAAGACAGATGATATAAATCAAACTCATGTACAATTTGATTCAGGTATTTGTAACATAACCTCAAAATAGAGCGATGACTCGGAAAAGTAGAAAAATATGAAAATCAAGAAGGCCTCCGACACTTATTGTATGTCCGACTGACGATATGGAACTTAGAAAACCACCTGTAGTTTCTTTCGTCACAATCATGCTACCAAGTGCGATCGCAGTAATCTCTTCTATATAATATTATGAATGAGAAAGTGTGGATGTTTGTTACTCAATCACGCCAAAATGGTTGAATGGATCTGGATGAAATTATAGTGTGGAATAGCACATAGCTTTTTATCCGAGGAAATAACTTTGAAATATCTATTTTACTATCGGTAGATCAAACGGATTAATGGAGTGACTGACGCGGAAGCACACACTCGCTGGTCCGACCGAAATTAGTAAGGATATATAAATAGGGCATTTCTATCATTCATTTCGATATTCGTGATGGCTATGATTTAGATTTGTGTGGTGGTTCGTTTTAGTTCGAGTATAATCAATATTTTGTCTGTAATTTTTTAAAGTACAGGTCTAAGATGTTCAAGTTCAGTAGGAGTTGAGATTTTAGGGAGAGGTTTAATTAAGACTAGCTTTCACTGTTTAGAGTGGTATTCTTTTTCTACGCAAACGTTTATGTGAGTGATATCAAAGAAAACCATAGGAAGACTTTGAACATAGTTACTGAACAATCTATATTACCAAAGTAACTAAAACTGATCTCTTTAAAACTAATGCAAGGCGTGTGCACTGTGCTTCAAACAACGAGGCTAGCTTAGGCTAGTTCCCTTATAAATGATAAAGACAGACTTCAACATTATTCGTAACCGATTTTTTTTATAGTGCGTTAGATGCAGAGTCTGAGAAAATAGTCCAAGCTGCTTTGGAAAAGGCAAGGGCAGGACGGACGGTTATTGTGATAGCACATAGGTTATCTACTATACAAAATGCTGACTTGATCGTAGTATTAGACAAAGGTCAGATTGTTGAGGTAAGTCTTTTTGGTTCAAAATTTAATTCTCCTTTTTTTAATAGTATGGGGGTGGCCAAAACGGACGCAGGAAAGTAAACGCATATTAAAACAAGAAAGATTGATGTTCAAATCAAGTTGGGTATTTTATTTTGAAGGTTCATTTATACCATTTATGTATGAAAAATAATATTGCTCAAATGTTCACCACGACTGGATTTACAGACGTCCACGCGATGGTCGAAATTTTCAATGACATTCCGCAACATGGTCGGTTCTATGGCATTTATCTCGGCAATGATGTTGTTTTTGCGTTCTTGGAGGGTGGCTGGTTTGTAGACGTAGACTTTGCTTTTCAAATATCCCCATAAAAAGAAGCCCAAGGGAGTCAAATCGTACGATCTTGGTGGCCATGGCACATTTCCTCTGCGCGAAATCACGCGATCACCGAAGAAGGACTGCAATCGATGGATATTGACGTTGGTTGTGTGGCATGCTGCACCGTCTTGTTGGAAATAAACATCGTCCATATCCATTCCTTCAAGTTGCGGCAAAAAATAGTCCTCTATCATCACGTGATATCGCTCAGAATTGACGGTAACGGCGTCCCCGGCCGCATTTTCGAAAAAGTAAGGTCCGATGATGCCTTTTGACCACAATGCACACCACACAGTCACTTTTTGAGGATGCATCGGCTGCTGTTGATACTCACGGGGATTTTCGTTCGCCCAGATGCGGCAGTTTTGCTTGTTTACCGTCCCATTCAAAGTGAAATGCGCTTCGTCGCTGAACATGATTTTTGATAAAAAATTGGCATCAATTTGGCGGTGTTCAAGGAGCCAATCTGAGAACGTTCGGCGCGAAAAATGGTCGGCCCGACGCAGCTCTTGCGTCAATTGGATCTTGTAGGCGTGTACATTCAAATCCTTGTGGAGAATGCGGAGCAAACTGGTTCTCGAAATGCCCAATTCTTGGGATCGACACGTTGTTGATTGTTTCGGCTCGTCTCTCACACTCTCCTTCACAACAGCAATATTTTCCGGTGTGCGAACGCTCCTTGGCCGGCCAGAGCCTGGCAGATTTGCCTCAGAACGTGTTGCCTCGAATTTACGCACCAGATGACCGATGGTTGTTTCGTTTGGGCGGTTGTTGCGACCGAAATGTTCACGAAGCGCGCGAAACGTGTTTTTTATTTTTGCACCATTTTTGTAGTGCTCTTGAATAACTTTAATGCGGTCTTCAATCGAATACGACTCCATAGCGATCAATGGTAAACATTCAACTAACAAAATGACATGTCGGTGACAGAAAACAAAGATGGCGTCTATGTCAAATTGACGTTTACTTTCCTGCGTCCCTATTGGACAACCCTTTAGTTTATATTATATTAAGCTGATATCTGCATCAGAAGACGTGCAATAAGGCTGAGGTCACATCCGATATTATGTATTTTGAAAGCATACCTTCAATTGTTTCTCACTTATGACTAGAATAATAGTACTTAGTATACCGAATGCAAATACGTATTATTTGTTGTTAGGTATGATAATTTCTTAAAATCATTCAGAAAAATAGTGAAAATAAAATAAGAGTGTGTAGTGTCAAATTATTCGTAAGAAAATGGTCTCTAGAAAAAGCCGATGAGCCACAAAATTCTATTTGAAAAATCAGGTAAACTGAAAAAAATAGTGTTTGTAACTTTTAGAAAATCGTTAAAACGATTGTGTAAGGTGGTTCGCCTAAAAATCGTGTTTTTCCCCGAGTTACTTGATCAAATTTGTAGCGAAAAATAAAAATGACATTGTTTATCAAATATTGACAAGTGAGTCGTTCTTGAGTTCAGAACGCCATCCTCGATGGAAATTAGTAAAATATATAGGGTTTCCCATTTAAAAATCGAAAGTTGGAGTCGTTTCCAGTCAAAACGGAATTACGTCAAAGCAAATGAATATGTCAAAAAATGTAAATTCATCTATAATACGCAACCCCCAAATTTCGTTATTCTATTTTCAACAATAAAAAAGTTATAGGGGTTGGCCACCTTGGAGAATCTTTTTGCCGGTATATAAAATCGACGTTTTGTTGTTGAGCCTACCACCCTCAAGTGTAATTCTAGACAAACTCCGTCTAGTAGAAAAACTAAACGCTAAGCAAAAAAAAATCCTAGACTTTACCGGCAGCTTTCCCTGAAACTTTATATTCCCTAACATCGAACAGCTTCACGGATATTTCTGTGAACCGAACTTTCCTTGTTAATGAAATTTCTTCAGAAAGTAGTTTTATTAGAATTGTTTCCGTTGGACTCCAGATGGGGACGCATGAATCTTTGAAGAAACTGAGAGGCTACTATTGGTCACTGACGTATCAACAACAACAGCATTCTCCTGCAGGTTGAGGAGAAACTATTTTTTTATATTATACAGGACGTTTGTTAAATATGGGGTAAACGTTGTCCTTTGATGAGAATTTTTGAAGAAACATATATTATCTATTTTGTATTATTTATGCGGAAAAGGGATGAATAAATTATATACAATGTTCTGATGTGTTTTCTTTGTTTTTCGAACATTCCTTAATAGGAGACCTCGAAATACACGGTGATAAAAAACAATGGCAATGTTTTTAGAGCAGAAAAAGCATTGAAAAATGATCAGACTGGATAAGAAAAAAACACGTTTTTTTTCAAATTTACAGTGACGACTCTGGCTCTAGTACACAGAGACTAACCCTAGATCATGTTGACGAGTTGAAAAAAAAAATGTAAAAAGGCTGTCCTTGGTTTGCTCAGTGGTAGAACACCTCTCAGATAGGTAAATTAGGAAAAAAAGATCTCTAGGTACATGTATAATATAACTTTATTTTAAAAAAGGTACTTACAGTCAACGAAAAATGATCTTCCTGAAAAAGTGAAGGGACATCTAATGCTTGCGGAAATGTAGGTATATACTCGTATTTAACAGTAAAAAGATTAAAACGTATGTACAGTACACAAGTACGGTGGACAATAAAAAGAGTCTTTATATGTTAAAATTCTCGCAGAACATTTTATGTATGTATATGTTTATTTGTGAGCTTAACCTAGTGGTATTTATATGTACAAGTCACCAAATATGTATCTTTGTTTTTCAAAAAATGGAAAGGATCTTCGGCTATTACCATCGATTAACATATTCTAAAAGAATCTGACCAAATTCAAACTCTCTTATACCAGTTTTACATCAACAATTTCTTCTCGAATTTAGTGAGATGGATTTCTTCAACGTCATTCTGATTCATTATCTGTTAGTACTCAATGCTGCTAACCGCTTAACAAATTCTTGATAGAAATATTTTAAGATTTTATGTCTATTGAGGTTTTGATTTTGAAGCGAATCTCATAAACAGAAACCATATTGTTGAACCCTAACAGAAAATAATTCGGACATTATCTAATTTTATCTTAGTCTGTTTGTTTTTTTAATGTTATAAATATTTTTTTCTTTTAATAGTCATTGAAATATCATCATATTAACAAAATTATCATCAAGTGATATGATATTAAACTATAAAACTAAATTAATGTTGATAACAACAATATTTGGTTGACTCATGTTACGCCTCCCTTTGCCTCAATAACAGCATTAATTCTGGCTAGCATAGTTTTGACAAGGTTTTCGCAGCCTTCCGCCTTAAAGGAGTCCAATATATTTTGTAATTTTACTCATAAATCAGAAATGTTTCGATAACATTTATATCAGGACTACTGGAAGGAAATGGGTAAGACTATACTTTAGCCCATATCGCAAATATTTTATTTCTTCTCTTTTAAAATGAAACATTATGATGTGACTTTTACGAAAATATCATTTTTTCGTTAAGGAACCCTTTGCTTGCTATTTTATAGAAGTTCAAAGTTGCATTTTTTGTGGTAATACTGTAGAATAGAATTCTTCAAAAAAGTGTCGTTAGCTAACGCTAATCCTGTGCCGATTGCCCATTTTTGCGCTAGTATATAAGTAAGAATTTGACAAATCAAATTAGGGTATATAACTATCCATGATTTGGCAACATCGCAACTAGATGGAGAGAGTATGATAGTGATGGTGGTATAGTGATGGGAATATTTATCTAAAATAAAAGAAATGACTACTTAACAATGAACTATTTTCATCATTAAAATAATGCAAAATTGCATTATTGCGATGAACAGCGTCACAGTAATTTACATTGTATGTTATATTCATATAGTTTTGAGCAATCATTTGTGTAAACAAGAAAAAAACAGCTTATAAAGCAGTATTCTATACCACAGTATTACCACACAAAATGCAACTTTGAAGTTCTAGAAAATAGCAAGCAGAGGGTTCCTTAAAGAGAAAATTATATTTTCGTGCAAGTTACATCCTAGTCTTTCATTTTAAAATAAGAAATGTAATATTTGCGTTATGCGCTAAAGTACAGTTCGGCCCAAATTGATTCTTAAATCAAAACGTCAAATTGTAAACACTCTTGTTTCCATCGCATGCTTCTATTTTCTTTTTAATATCGTGTCCGAAGATTTGTGTCGGCAAAATGTTTGATTTTATATTTCATTAACATATTACTTGAAAACAGTTTTGTTAATATGTACAAACAATATATTTCATTGTTTTATAAAAGAAAAACAATTAATTTTTAACCTTAGAAAAATAAACTTTTAGATAACATTAAATAATCTCCGAACATTTTTGTTTCAGAGCTCGTACTGTAGTTTTATCAAAGTTCTAAACTTGAATTGAAAATTTGTTCGATATAATGGAAAGGAAAACAAGGTTAACCTTGGCACGATGGAATTGGACGTTCAATTTTGCAAAAGATCAGAACAAAATCTACTTTCGTGCAAAGCTTCATGGACGTATTTGACATCAAATTCCTGTTTTACACTTTTGAAATTTGCAACAAACTCAATTCAGAAATCCCTTAACGTATTGTCAATGTAGAAAAGGGGAATTAATATGAAATATCAACCTCTCGACACTCCACGTAAAAGTTGCTAAGATTTCGTATTCTTAGAATTTTTCAATAACCGAAACGGAAATCTCATGATCTGCGGAGACACCAAAAGACAGTGGTCGACACGTATATACAGGGTGTTCATTTGAAATCTTTCGACCACGGATTTATCGAAAATACGCCGTCAAAAGATTTGTCAAGGGGGTCAACTTTTTAACCAAAAAATACTAAAAAGCTATTACTCCATACCCTTTGGATTAAAAGATTTTAAGGGGATGATCCTGGGGGCAGACGGCGAAAGGGGGTGAAGTAGTATTTGCTTGACAAATCTTTTGACGTGTCTGGGCGTTTTTTATTTTAATCAATGGTTTTCGATAAATCCGTGGTAGGAAGTTTTTAAATGAACACCCTGTATGTTAGTGAACGCAGGCAAGGCTTTCACTTAGGCTGTTTCTTCTGGTGGAATATGTTAATCAATGCTACTACAAAGTTCCTCACATTTTCCTGTAAAACAGCATTTAGCAATGTGGTGTCATTTGGCATTCCTAAAATGTAAAATCTATATTATAACAAAATCGTGAGTGACGAAGGCCCGAGTTAAGATAACATGGCCACGCAAGCCAACTATTGAAATATACTCTACTAGACTGTAGAATGACTATCTGTAGAGAAATTCTTCTCGAAATCGTTGCAAACCGCTTGAAAAATGCAAATGAATATCGGCAAAATTGCCGCCTTGACGTAATAAATGACTCCGTCCTTACCCCGGGATAGACATACGATCTTGTCACCTAGATTTCGGTGTTGCCAGCTCATCGGACAATTTTGCTAGCTCTGCTATTTTGCTAGAATGTTGAGGGATACCAATGGATATATAAAATTTGAGGCGTAGCAATGTTAGCCAAAAAACTAAAAAAAGCTGTTATTTACATTTTGCGTCGCCTGGCGTCTAGGCGGTGGAACATTAATGTCTCTGAACACTTTTATAAATGCCCAGTTGTATAGGATAAATTCCTTCCAACAATTGGAAAAAAACAATGTTTTATTATATAAGTGTATTTATCAACTATTTGATCTAAAATTACACGATCATTAATAGGAGAAGTACGATTTTATTTTTCTCTGCTCTTTATTAGGGGAATATGATTTTTAGTGACTGCATTCGCACTTGGGCGAGAAATACTAGAAAACCTCAACCGTTACTGCTAAGATTAATTGTAACAGCTGAAGAAAAATTGAGCCGTTCCTCAATTCTGGCTTCATTTGTACAATCTAAAATCACCAGCATGCCACAGTTATTAACCTAAAAAAAAGTACCATTGAGGTAACGGTTTATACGAGTGTCATTTCAATAACCTAAGACGCTCTAATAGTTCGATATAAATAGTTTGAATGTAGCGAATCTAAAAAATCGCATGTCGATACTGTCAAGTTCACATAATGTGACTGCACTATGAAGACCTGAACTCCGCTGCCCTCCCCCGAGCCCCGCACGCAGGTGAAACCAGCGCGATGCAGCAGAGCGGTACTCGGGAAGATATTCTTCGGAAGAAAAGGATTAAGTTTTGTAGCACATTTTTTAAATAAAGCAGTAAAGTGCGAAAGTGAAATGAAATATGTTTTTAGGTGAATGATCTTGTGCGTGTTTCTGGAAGAAGGCAAATTAGGTAAGTAACTATACACCTTTGACATCGCTACTATCATATACATATGTATATTTTGGTTAATAGTATGAAAACTAATGTCTAGATAATTAATTACAATAGCAATCAACGTTACTTCAACAACTTGATTCAGTCATCTTTCATCTCATCCAGACTTGCAAGAGAAAATGTTTGAACATTTTCAGATCCGTCTCTGTCCTCATGCCTCCGGTTCTCGGTTTTATAGCCGTTTAATGACTATCGGCAAAAAATGTAAACGAATACAATATCGTTGTCGTTATTAAAATTCTCATTTATTTAAAAAAACATGGGATGCCAACCCTAACACACAAGTAGATAAGTATGCAAGGCTCACCTAATTTGCTGCACAGCTATCCTGATCCCCTCAGAAGAATTGGAAATAGACTAATTTCCACCTTGGAGACACTTGACACCCACATCACAACACCAAAGAGATACAATCGAGAGCCCTATAGTGAACACCACTACTGAAAAAAGTAGCTAAACCAAATAGAGGTCTGGACGGAGCTGTGAAAGCGTGGACATTCCGCTGCGACGACGGTTGCCGAGACACTGATGCGTTTGAATGCTGTACCTTGCTGCGGCGATACGGTACGGCCGGGTAGTACAGCCACGCCCCTTTGCAGCTCTGACTCCGCGCGTCCGCTCCCGTCAACGTAAATATCGAGTCGCTTCGTGATACTGTCGGATAAGAAAACGCAGACGCGCGGAGTGGGAGCTGGAAAGGGGCGTGGCTGTACTACCCGGCCGTACTGTATCGCCGCAGCGAGGTACAGCATTCAAAAGCATCAGTTTCTCGGCAACCGTCGGCGAAGCGGAATGTCCACGCGTTCACAGCTCCGTGGAGAAGTCTATTCAGTTAAGCTATTGTTTTTAAATAGTGG